TAGAACATTCCCAGGCCCAGAGAATGACTTGGACAAACGACTCGAGAAATTCCCACCGTGGTGACCCCGTTTAGAGGTGATAATTGGAAAATAGAATGCTTGAACGCGTCGTAAAGATATAAATATTGGGGTCAATACTACTGGATGGATGTTTCTTTCGACTGGATGTGTTTGTGCTTGTAGATGTGGATGAACTTACTTTGGCAATTTCCAGCTGTGCACAGTGCCAGCAGCAGCAGCATAATAAGGGGCATTGCATTTGGAGAAGTCATGACCACAGTGCGGTTACGATGGGATCGGGACTGAGATTCAGATGTGGATGTGGATATTGTGAACAATAAGTTGCAGCAAAACATTGTTTGCTGTTGGCAGCTGTTAATTTTCCTGCTGCCGTGTATTTCCGATGCTGCAAAAGTTGCCGAGATGCTGAAGTTGAAGTTGTTGGTGCTGTTGTGTTTGTGTGCGATTATAATGCCGTTGGCTGCCGATTAGCTGGGGCCTTATATACGATGTTGTTTTTGTTGTGGCATCACCATCGATTAATTTATGCATACACTTGTCAATTATTTATATTTTTATTTCAAAAAACATACACACATAATATATGAATAGCGTGAGCGATCGTGCTGCGATCACTAAGGTTTCACTTTGCATTCGCACTGAATTTCCACAGGCTAATTATGATGTTTTATATGTTCGTATATATTACTGCACACACTGCATACTGGATAATACATTGTAATCATGAATAATCGTGAAAATCACAGCTTGGCGGCCGTTGACTTTGACTCCGCCCTCACCTGTCCAACCCAACCGATTCCAACCGCTTTCCTAAGTTCCCAAACCATATATATAGTCTTTATACATATATATCTATCTACCGACCACTCGATTCGATTCAGTTCCATTCGATTGCTTCGATTGAAAAAGTAAAAGTAAACTTTAAATGGCTTCCCTTTTTGGGGGCTGAAAGCTACGAAGGCATGAATATTCGAAAGAATGAGCGGAGTGCAGACAGAAAATATGGTGGTGTATAGATTGAAAATGAAATGAAATCGCCTGAGGGCGAGTATCGATTTGGTGTTGCTTTCAAGGTTGCTAAACACTGCCACCAAAGCTTTTTATCATTCAGAGTTGATAATTTATACAAGACCCGCGTTTAGATACTACTCTTGGGGAAAGAGTGCTGCTAGCAGAACGGTTTCACTCCGCCCCGGGGTTGTTGGGAACTTGAATCTTGAAAAACGCATCAAAGGCAACTTTCGTGAGAGCATATATATCTTTCACTAATTATCGGCTACTGCTGCTGTGCTGATAGCCTCTGGTGGAGAGTTAGGAAAGTTTCGGTTTCGGTTTCGGAGCCAGTGAATCGGCCGCCTGGCTTGGGCACTCTAATTCGATATCAGTGGTGCTAATTTGAACCTTGTGTGAAAGTACACGAACTAGAAATATTGGGGCTCACACTAACACTCAATCAAAAGACTTGTACGATCCGAACGTTCCCGATTCTGTTTGCATATATATTATGTACGTACGTACGAATCGTGAACGGCTAAACATTCATATATGAGCATGATTCAATATGACCGGATTTAGCTATTTTTTGTCTGCTCTGGGTGGGAGCTGTAAGACAAGCAAACTCACTCAATCTCTGACCAGTTCGCACATATAAAATAAAAACCACTAAAACAAAAATGTATGAAACAGCAAGCCACACAGGAAAAAAATAAAAGAGCGCGGCTCGGATTCAGTTCAGTTCGGTTAGGCTGGGTCCGCAGGGAAAATGGGAAATATTAATGGCTACCTATGAACGTGAACTTATTTCTCGTTTAGGCGACCTGGCTGCATTTGCACGAGTAAACGCTGCTGCTACTGCAACGGCGAAACAAAAACCCGCCGCTTTCCGATCCGAAACTCCCAGCACGTCTGCTTGGAATGAAAGTTGACTTATAACTGGTTTTAATGTCCCACAGAAGTTCGCAACGAACAGTATAATGTATACTGTATGCCGTACTACCATGCCGAGCCGATCCCGAGCCGACTCGATCCGATCCGATCTGAACTGCGCCGAGCTGGTACTGCGCATGTGCAGCGGCGAGCGCATGAGCCGACTGACTATCGGAACCCTAGCACTATGGAGCGAAATCATACTGTTTTTCACTCTTTGTTTTGTCAAACATCCAAAAAACTTTTTAGAATATTCGCAGTAAAGCTATATAATTTTTTTATATTTTTCTAGATTTGTACAGAATTTATTTTCCTACCTAAAGATAATATTATTTTGATAGAACTATATTTATCTTATAATGAACTCTCGTTGAATATTAACATTTGTTAGTGATATTTTTAAAACTCTAAATTAGTGTTAGTCTGATCTACTTAATATCCTAATAATAAAGCTAATTATTAAGAGTGGCTCAAAAAGTTTGGTCGTTGGGCCCATTGTTTACCGTAACCAACATAAGGTTGATTGGTCGGTTGCCTGCTTAGCTGACCGATCGCCTTTTACACTTGACAAACAGCCATTTCCACTTTTTTTTTAGATTTTCCCAATATTGTTAGAAAGGAATCAAAACAGCTCACACTGTAAGAGCTTCTACTCAGTTCTTTCAGGAAAAAATATGCAGTTAGTTCTCCCACACTTTTCTTATCACTCAGATCCGAAAGCGACCTTTACACTTATTAGCTCTTAAACCGGTTCTGAACCGAAAGTTATTTAATTGTTTCAAGCAAAAAAAAAAATATTATAAATAATTTTTGACACATTTTTTCGTTATAATTAAAAGGCATTCTTAAATCGATAACATTTTTTTCTGAACCTAAAATAAATACAAAATTAATACAAAATATGCCTGGTAAGAACAAATTGTAGTTTAATACATGAGTAACAAAAAATATGATTGATTGGGGTCCAATGTTAATGGTCATATCTTACGGGGAGTTTTTTTCAGTGTAGTAGCCTTATTTACCGCTCGACGAATGGCGGACGGTAGTTCGGTTTGTTTTCGCTGGTCGGTTGGATGTCTGTCATGGTGGCGTTGTTGCCGACGCGAAATACAATATGCGCAATCGCAGAGCTTTACACAATTCGCTCGAGAGTCGATTCAAGCGTTCCATGTACAATACAACATATACTGCCCTCTGCGATAGGTTACCTCGTCTATGAAGGAAAACTCGAGGTCTTATTACACCTTTCTTTGAGAACACTTCAATTACTAATTTATAACAACTTTATATTTAAACTTTAAAATATATTTGTTGAAGTCAAAAACAATCCTATTTAGTTTTTTCGTTTACTCTGTATAACATTCGTATAAATTCATACCGCCAAAATACCTGAACCATAAAATATGTGTGTAAATTTAGCAATTAGCGGGGGCAAAAAACGCGTGATCAGAAAGTCAGGAAAAACTTGATCTTAGCATCCCCCAAGTGTATCAATCATAGAACTCAAAGCTCTTCTTTTCGTTAAAATGTTGTGATTAGGAATATAAATATATATAAAAGGCATACTATATATTTCATTAGATGGGATTAATGTATAATGTTTATATGTTATTGCAAGAGTATACAGACTTTGGCGCTCTCGATTTAAATCCATGCCCCACAGTGTAACCGAACCCGAGTACACACTTAATAAAGAAGTAAGTCTTAAAACTGGATCACAATGGATCACAAAGCCGTGTTCTGTTTAATTCCGATAATTGGCATGGCCATGCGTTCTAAACCGTCAACTGTGGCAAATAGTACAAACAAAGTGTGATGGGCGGACTTTCTGATTATGTTTCTATACTTGTCCTAATTCCCAGGTTCAGGTATCGCAATGACCAGTAAGATTTTTGGCAACTTATAGTATTAACTCAGAAGTATAGCAAAGGGAAGCCAAGTTAAAGTTATTTACTGCTTAACTTGAGAAACGGGATTTTTATGTCTTCTTTTTGCTTCAAAATTAATGCTTTTATCGAAATATTTACAGTTCCTTCTCAGTACACTCATCATTGCGCATGATTGACAATTTATTATTCCGCAATATTTTGCAAAATTCATTCGTCCGTTGACCGGGCTTTTGTCGTCATCTTCATCGTTGAAAACGGTCGCCTTTTTCCCAGCTGACGTCAGTTTATGGTCTTTTGAGCCAACATCGTAATGCTTCAGTTGGCAAAAATTATTTAACATTTTTACTTATGATATAACTGAATTAACTGCTAAATGCAAAGACAACTGAAAAGCAATTCGACGGGGTCTTGAAATCGAGGGCTAGGAAAGAGTGGCCAGTAAACACAAAGGCACATTTTAAAACAAGCGTCTAGTCGTCTTGCTAACTTGAGCAAGAGCTTTTTATTACTGAACAATCTTAGATCAGGGGCACACAAAGCTTGCGAATATCAGTTGAATTAATGCAAATCCCTTTAAATTAGTATTTTTAATATAAAATTACAAAATATTTAAAAGCAATTTAAATTATTTGCAGATTTTTTAATAGCTGGAAACAAGTTACTCAGAAGTTAGGGTTTTTTTTCAACATAATATCTAATTGTAATAAACTATACTTTTGAAAAGATCATAGTTTTGGGAGCTTTTCCTATAAACATATTTGTAAACTGAAAAAAATGTACTTAAATTCACTTTATTATATGTTTGTTTGTTTGCTTCTACAATCAAAAAATTAAATCACATTTTTTAAGAATGCTTATAATATGTTACAAAAGGTTGCAACAACTTTACTCTTACCATATTTTTTTTAAATAGCATCTGTAATTTTTTATACGCTGAAACCCCAGCTCACTGCCCACAAAGACTATACTTTTTTCCAGTGCTCTCACGATCTCAGCTTGGGTTTTATTGCTGGAGAGAAGCGAGAGAGCGCTACCTGTATTCAGGTACAAGGTATAGTATACGAGAGCGGTTCCTGAGTTTTCTGCTGTCTGTTTTTTCGTACTGAGAGTATGGAAATAATGGAAATGGCTCGCTTTAAAGCGTTCGATCGAGGTGGTGAGAATTATTTTTAGTTTGTTTTCGCCTCTTGGTGCGTACAGTTGCAGTGCCGCCCAATCCAAATCGTTTGTTTTTATTATTTTTTTTTAGTTTCGTTTCGGTTCGATTTTGTTTTGATTTCGGTATTGCTGCTCTCGGTTCTTTTCAACTCTGCTATCCCCGCCTCCGAAGCGATTTCGACTTTCGTTTTAAATTGTTGTTGTATTTGGTACGACTTTGCTCTTTATAAAGTTGTAAAATAAAAAATGTGTTTTTTGTTTTGCCCACGAGGTCGTCTCTCTAAATAGATCAAAGGAAGAGTTTGGCAATCAGAGATTTTTATATTGTACAACGACAAAGCGAAATATCACTATTTACAGCAACGGAAGCCTGTTCAGCGGCCCGTAACAGAACCCACAAATTGAAAAATTCCACCGACCTGACTGACACCCAGCAACAACACAACAACGCAACAACGCAACATCACATCAACAACATCGCACCCAAAGTTAAAGGCGGAGTTAGTTGGCCGTTCTCTGGAATTTCCGATTAACTATTTTCTCTCTCTCTTGCCAACTTGGAGCATCAATGGATGCCAACGACCTATTTAAAAAACCGGAAAAAAGTCCAAACAAACCGGAAAAAATACTAATGTGCAATATCGATTTCCGCCACTGTCCTTAAAAGCCGTTTGCCTTGGACTATAGATAAAGATATAAAGATATTTAAAGTAATAAATTCGAGACAGTACAATAGTGATTAAGTATAGAAAAATAAGTTATATACCCAGGTCTAACATTTCAGTCTGATAATACTCTGCAAATGATCTTCCCGCTATATGCATTTTATTTATTTTTTAAATTACTGAACTTTGTTTTATTGCAGCGAATGCAGCCAATGGGAATATGCCCGTAGCTCCTGGCGCGGTGCTTTCGCCTGGTACTCGTATCATCCTAGTCCCGGAATGTCCATTTAGATCCAGCCAGGCGATCGGCTAGTCATGCCAGTGCAACCAGTCCGTCCCGTGAGCACCTACGACAACTTGGGCGCCTCCTCCCAGTCGAGGGAGCTGGAGTCCGGAATGCTTGAACCGGAACCGGAAGTGGAAGTGGATATGGAACTCAATGCCAGCGGCACTAGCCACAGTATAGCTGCTGTCAAGGCGGCCTTGAACGATGCCAAGTCGAAATTCTTCGGGATAAACAACTATGAGTCACCCGAGGCCGGCAAGAGTGCCGCTCAGGTGGTGAATGTCAAGCCGGAACCAAAGTACCAGAATGTTCCGCAACGGGATGAGATCCCTGCAGTGGCTGCTCCAGAATCTCCATCCCTTCCATCGGCATCCCATCCCACTTCTCCTTCCGGCGATCTGCAGAACAGGGCACTCCGCTATGCCACCACCTACGAACAGATTCCCCTCAGCGATTTGGAAGCTCCGCAGTCGTCGCAGGTGAGTGATCAATATAATCTATGCACGTGTATATGTATCCAAAATGTCTACTCTACCCAAAAAGGCCGTCTACATGAGCACCACAGTTCCGCAGAACATGAAAGGCATGAAGATCGCCGGTCGACATACGCCAACCCGAAACAGTCTGCGGCACAGCCGGATGATCGTTGTTAATCACAAAAATCATGACAGTAAGTTCAGCAATCTCCAAAAAATGTATGTGGGTGTTCGCACTGCCATCTTTGGTTGGCCAAGAAAACACAGAGGGAATTTCCTAAACTTACATTTATACCCCAACATATTTTTCCAACTCTATAATCCTGCAATTGATATTATTAATTATAAACATTTTTTGGACAGGTCTCCAAGCGACAAGGAACCTGAATATTTCGCGGCAACTCCTAATTATGCAATTAGCTGTTGGTCTGCTGATTGTTGGACTAGCGGCTTGGATTCTTATTCTAGCGCCGAATGCATCAATATTGATCAATCCATATCTGGGTGGTCTGTCGGTAAGTTAATATACATGCATAAAAATACAGCAAATCAATTTACTGTAATTAGTAAACTGCATGATTTACAAGATTGTATATCTTATAAACGATATTTATCCATTTAGTTGCTGTTGGCGAGTGTTGCGGGTCTGATACTGATGCGAAGGAACCACAAGATCTCGGATCACAGACCCCCAAACAGTTGCTACAAGGTCCTGCTGGCCGAGTGCTACGTGTCCAACGGCCTGGCGTTGATCTTCTGCTGTTTGGCCCTCGTCTGTGCGGCGATCGAGTTTGCGGAGCTCACCTCATCCGCGGCTGGGGATTGCGGGCCCACATCCAGCTCCCTTTTGAGTTACCACAATTGCACCTGCTTGTCGGCCGGCGAAGCAGTGACCTCCTCCTTCGAGGACCCGTCCGCACTTATTGCTGTTCAGGAATCATCGCAGTTAGTTGCTCCCTTGAGTTCCCCAAAATATCCACTATCAATAATATCACTTTCAGAAGCGATGGATGTGGAGAACTTCGGATCGAATGGAAATATCTCCTGGCCTTCTCGATGGCGCTCAACACTCTGGGCATTGTTGCAACATTCTTATACATAACGCTATTCATTTGTTGCCACCGCAACAGAGATCATTTTTACACGTCTGTGTAGGGGTTGTTCACACTTAGGCTATTACTTAAATAATACAAATATTTTACTTAAATTATTTTAGTAACTGATACAAATTACAAATAAATTATTTATTAATAATAATACCATCTCAATGTGCATACTTGCTAAAATATGAAATATAAAGAATTTAAACAGAGTTCTATGTAGTTAAAGACTATATTTGTAAAGAATTTCTTATCACTTTGAGAATTACATTTTTATAAATTACCTACATTTCCTAAAAAAAAAGATATTACATACATCCTTGAGCTGTGAACGTTTGAATCTCTTACAGAATGAGTAATACTTTACATAATACTATATTTGGTACCATTCTTGGTCAGATTTGAGTAATTTGCGTTAGATGTACATATCAGTACGAAGAATTATCTACCATTATCTACCACCTTGTATGTATAGATGTTTGTGTTTAGAATCCGCTAACTCCACCTGGCTTCCGGAAATCCGAGTTTACCCAAATGGTCTCATTCTGTTGTTCGATGCCGCAGATGACTGATCCGCGGTTTTCATATCGCTCGCACCGATGGCCCCTGTCCTCCAAGCTCTTCAGGTGACTTTCGAGTAGTCCGTACTCGTAGTGCAGGACATTGGGCGACATTTGGTGATGGATGCGACTGGCATCGATGGCGCTCTTGATTCTTGCCCTCTGCCAAAGGATCCGGACGAGAAGCGGGGCAAGGGAGGAGATTATTTTGGTGCCGCCAGCGGCACCCACAACCAAGCGTACTTTTCCGGTGGAGCGTTCCGTGACAATCACCGGACTCATCGAAGACATGGGACGGGCGGCGGGAGCTATGCCATTCGTGCCAGGAAGAAATGGCAAATCAAAGTAGTTTTTCATCTGCTCCATCGAGAAGTCGGACATGGCGTTATTAAAGATGACTCCTGTGCGCCTTCCTGTTCGTCCACTACCGAAACTTTGGGGAGCAGTAAATAAGTTTATAAATATACCATTAAAAGGATTTATTCTTACTAGAAATTAATAGAACTGGTCACCGAAACGGCATCGTTTCCATGCAGAACTGAAGTGTGGGCAGTGCCGTGCTCATCCCGTATTTGTATTCCAGATGAACCAGCTCCATAAAACTCAGAACTGTTGAAGGTCCGTGAGTCATTCATTTTCTTTGCCATGGATTTCGCCAGTTCGTAGCTCGTTAAATTCGCCAAAAGCTGTTGGAGAAATCCAAGTAAGCGTTATAATTAAATTATTCGGAGTGCCATATGTCAATAAATCCTGAAGTTTGAGATTCGCCACACTCTTGTGTATACCCGCTACTCTAGTAAAGGGTGTAGAAGCGAGATAGAGATACGGAAAGCGACATGAATTAGAAAGAGAGAAGGGTCGAAGTACTCACCTCCTCGTTGGCGGATTCGTCCAGTAGCCAACGCTTGACAAAGCCAAACTTCATGGCTTCGACCATCAGATGGATCTCCCGGGCGCCCATGGTTCGGACTCTTGAGAAATCCACTCGGAACTGCCTCAAAATGTTCATGATGAAGCCCAGGACGTGACCACTACCAGGTGGCGGGGTCAAATGGAGATCATGCTCATCCAGAGGCATCACCAGCGCCCTGCTCAACTTGGCATGGGCTCGGTTCAGATCCTCCCTGGCTATGACACTGCCCATGTCCCGCAAATCGGCTAGCAGATCATCGGCGATCGATCCTCTGTAGAAGCTGAGTGGTCCCTCGTTGGCCAACCGATCGTAGGTGGTGCACAATTGAGCCGAGGGTCGGATGAGATGGCCCAAGGGCCAGAAGTGACCGGAAACCGGATCGATAAACATCCGCCGCAGGCCGGGATCGGCCCGAATCATGTCCTGGTTGAGGACGAGGGCGTCGAACTGGTGCTTATACAGCCGATAGCCACGACGGCACAGCTCCAAGGTGGGCAGCACCAGCTCCTCCCACCTCAGCCGCCCGAATCGCTGGTGGGCCACCGCATATCCGGCTAGTTCCGCTGGCACGGCGATGGACCAGCCGGATCTCTTGAAATCCTGCTCATCGCGAAAGGACGAGAAGTTCTCCGCCCGCAGGGCCAGTGGAGCAATTTCCCGGGCCAAAATACTATAGGACTTGCGCTCCTTTCCCGAATAGATGTTCATCACCATACCGCCACCGATTCCCATGCTCTGCATCCCGATGAGTCCGTTGCAAATAAGGGCCGCCAGGGCCGCGTCCACCACACTGCCTCCTTTTTCCAGGACCTTCCGGGCCAAATCACTGCACACATCGCTGTCGGAGCAAATGGCCGCCCTGGAGAATTGATGGAGCGGCGAATTGGAGGGCGGTAGTGGATCCACCGGATTTGGCGGCCTCCTAGCCGACCTCTTTGGAACTGCTGAAAAGGAATTTTAGATATTATATAGGTAGGGGGAGCTCCAATCCAAACTCACCATTTCTTTCGGGAAGTCGGTACCAATAGACAGCCACCAAGAGGATAATCACCACGGGTATGCAACTATTCAGACTAATCCTAACGAACATCTCTGGCAGCTATGTTTCTATCGATTTCAACCCCATCGTCAACCACCCATTGAAGGCCTGAATGGAAATATCCTTTTCATTTTGAAAAACACAGTAGAGGTGGAGAAACATCGATGGAAACATCGATGCTTTTAAAAATTTTGAAAATATTGAGACCGTCCTATTATGCTCTTAAAGAAGCGGAATTCAGCGCGGGAAGAACTTTATATTTAAATTTCACTTGGATAAGGAATCCATGAGATACCCATATCTTCAATCAGGGATTTTCAACATGAAATCAGACTTAATTCCCAAATATATCGTGTTAGTTTGAATTATTGTCTAGTATTAGTAGCTATAAAAATAAAGTTATAATTTCAATTTCCTGGGATTTCCAAATCTTAAATTGAAGAAAATTAATATTTGTTAAATATATTAATAACTAGAGATTTTCAACAAGTTTCAATTTTCAAAATTATTTTTCTGAAAATGTAAGTGTTTAGTATGAGTTATTATTTAAAGCTATAAAATATTATTAAATTAAAAAATTAATATAAAATAAATTAAATATAAAAAAATGATAAATAAAAGAAACGAAAGAATGAGTACTACTAGATACCTATCGATAGACAGCTTGAAAGACATGGTATCGACTACAACTGAGGGTATCGACTTATCACAGCAACAACAGGTAGTTGTCCCGCCCTGGCGCGTAGGTCAGTTGATAAAATCCCCTCGGCACTACAAAATATATTCGCTAATTGCCGTCGTCGCGTTTTCAGATACTTAAAGTAATTAAAAAAAAATTAAGATTTTTGCATCTTTTTTTGGCTGCCCCACTGAGATATTTGTTGTTATTAGTGTTCTAGTGTACCAATAGTGCATTATAAATTTATAAAAACCATAACTTTAAGACGACTCTGTTCCCAAATAATCTCCGAGACATACATATGCGAGTGTCTAGATATGTGTGTATCTACTGAGCGATAATACATATATCGTTCGACTGGCGGCGGGGTAACAGCAATAGAAACACTCGTTTTGTATCTTCAGATAGAAAGATGGAAAGATACAAAGATATTGGATGCACATATCCACACTTCGCACACACCGGCACGACACGTGTTCATGTGCTGCATCTGTAGTATAAGTGATACCCATCTGTTGATTTGCGACCTTGCTAGGAATAATTACCCTCAAAAACATTATGATATTGCCGACGTCGATAAGACCCCATAACATACTTAGGAATCTATATGTATAAACATGGATACGGATATATGTATTAGCGAAAACCAAACACCTTTTCCCATCGTCGGAATTCAATATTTTTGTATTCTTATGAATTGTAAATATGGCATGGATATATAGAGATAGAGGAAAATATTTTCCAGTAAACATTTTCTGCGCAATCCCACGTCACTTCAATAGTTCGTTCATCTCGCTCAATGACATTGGATTGTTTAATAACGATACATTGACGTAAAATTAAAAAAAAATTGTTTGACCGGTAAAATCCATTGTTTACAAAACTATACAGCATCTATCAAAAAACTGTATGTTTAGTTATAGTTTATATAGGCAAACAGAAACTTCTCAAGAAGTGGTTGTGTTTTGTAAAAGGACCTGATAAGAACCCATTCCTAATCAAACTGGTTTATTTTTAAATTTAAATACATTTATTTGTGTAAATTTTGTAACAATGATTTTACAATTCAAAAATAGTATTTCACGTAAGCCTCTGTAAGAGCATGACTCAGTTCAAATACATAGGCATATGCGTCTGAGAGACTTTGTTGACGTGGGTTTGAGTGCAAGATGAATCATCTTGAAGTAAACAAAATTATGTTTGCTGTGCAAACAGTACAAACTTTGTTTGCAAATATAAATTTTGGAATATCGAAAATAAGTAATTATATAAAGAAAATATATGCAACAACATTTCTTTCTTGAATTTCTATCATATTACTGAGTTTATAAAAAAACGTATACGAATTAAATGCACGTGCCGTTTTTGAACAACATATAAACAATTGTGCAAACATATTTTCCAACTTTCACTTTAGAAACCAGGCAGTTGTTAACATTCCCATCAAGTCGGTGGCGTCTATGTGTCTGAAGCAAAAAAAGGCAACAAACGTATTCATGTATCACGCATGACATGACCCGTAAATATTAGCCTAAGGGATACATAATTTCAGTACATATATTTACTACGTCTACTTGATTTTCATTTAGCAAAGTACACGTGCTTTAATTCTGTTTCTTGTTTTCGTGACTAATGTCCCTTAAATATACAAAATATAAGGTAAAATAAGGTGTAGCATACATATGTATATTTCATCAAAGCTTATACACTTTTATACGTACATTTTTATAGAACCAATTAGTGTTTTTAAGGCAGGGTTTTTTTTTTTACCAAACAGTACCCATTTTGAAAATGGGTATGAATTAAAAATTAAACTTTTCCACTGCGTCATATTTATATATCTTTTATATGAGCAATAAAAACCTTGATATGTTTTCTTTATAAAATTGTCGATATTATAACTTAATGGTTTTCCCCTCGGAGTCATTTGCTAAGTCATATGTATACTTATCTCTCTTAAAGCTCCAACAGTACCGGCAAACTGTAACAAATAAATAGGAAATATAAATTCAGGTAGATTCAATTCTGTAACTTACACTCGAATGCCAATCCCTATTTATTTATTAGCACATTTCATTGCGTAGTGTGATATAAAATTTCTGGCTCAAAACCCGCCAGCACATTTTATATTCTTTATTTCTATTAGCAGCAATCTTTGCTTTATTGTTGCGAAGAATTGGTAGGTAAATCCAAATATATGTTAATATGTATGGTGGCCAAATAAGTATGCTGATAACAACTGGTTAAATATTAGTTTTATAGCCTTGTACATATGTGTGTAAATATTTTGATTTTAATGAAACCCACTTGTTCCTGTTTTGCTTTTTCCAGTACTGAATCTCAATCACCGGAAACCCCCCACAGAATAGAATCTTCCCCATAATGTATCCCTTCGTAAGTTTTTTCCTTAGACTTTTGTTCTAAAAGCATTAATCATTAGATCCTAAAAAACGTTTTATTTTTTAAAATTTGTTCGATCAAATCTTTTTTTTATGATTTTTTTTAAAAGATAAATTATATAAATCATCAGAAAATGTTAATTTTTTAGAATATTGTTTCTCGGTGAGTTTCATTTACATTTGTATCTGAATTAATTTTATTGAAGATATCTAAATATGAAATGAATGGCTTTTGGGCTCTGTGAATATTAAGCTCAATTTTTTGGCCTTTATAGGGTTCTGGTTCTGGAATGCCATCGTACCCCCCTACCTCCACTAATCACCACGAGCCACCACGGGCGCCTTTTGGAGCTGGTTGGGTGCCACCGATGCAGCAGAACTCGCCATACCCGCCCCAGCCACACCCCCCCTCACAACCATCGCCCCAAATGCACTACCACCAGCAGCAGCAATATCCTGGCCAACAGGGTGCCCCAGCTCCCTATCCACCAATGTCGGCACCATACCCGGGCGCCGCCGCCCCATCCTACCCACCTTATCCCAGTTCAAATCCGTACCCGGGCCAATTCGCTCCACCGTTGCATCAGCAGCATCAGCAGCCTCCGATTTCGAATAGCCCCTATCCCCCGGATCGTGGATACACACCAGCCATGACAGCCGGATACGATGCAGGCTATGGTTACGGACAAGGACATGGACAGGGGCACGGACAGGGGCACGGGCATGGACAGGGGTATGGGAATGGTCAGGGGCAGGTGCATCGGTCACTCCCAGCTCACAAAGAGGTTGGTCATCAATTGCTAGAGACACTGGCGTACGCAGATATGCTTCCAGAGGGATTTTTATATTTTTACATTACCCTAAATGCTTTCTCTTTTATTTTCTCAGGGCTGACAAATAGTCTATTTAATAAATTAAATTTATAGAGAATTTGTAGTACCCCCTGCGTACGCCACACATCCCAAGTAGTTTTCTACCCCGGGCCGTTTTATAACTAAATTCACTCTCAGCCCTAGCCATTCATCATCATAATCATGATCACATTAAAATCACGTAAAACACCAAATAATCTGGGTCTATCAATCGCGACTCTTTCAGGGAACTCCCACTGTGGTGGCCGCCCAGGGATTCGATCCCGTGAAGGATGCCCACGACCTGCGCAAGGCGATGAAGGGCTTCGGAACGGATGAGAACGCCCTGATCAACATCATCTGCCGGCGGACGAACGAGCAGCGCCAGGAGATCCAGCGCCAGTACAAGACCCATTTCGGCAAGGACCTTATCGAGGACATCAAGTCGGAGACGAGCGGCAACTTTGAGAAGCTCCTCGTCGGCCTGCTGCGTCCCATCGTGGACTACTATTGCGCGGAGCTGAACGACGCCATGGCTGGCCTTGGCACCGACGAGGAGGTCCTCATCGAAATCCTCTGCACGCTGTCCAACATGGAGATCTATACAATCAAAAACCAGTACTTACGACGTATGCTCACTTTGCCAATACACATTTATATTACGAATTTAATATGATTCATCAAAATCTATCTAGTGTACGGTGCTCACTTGGAGTCCGAACTTAAGTCGGAGACCTCGGGCAACTTCAAGCGGCTGCTCACCTCCTTGTGCACTGCGGCGCGGGATGAGAGCGGCCGGGTTGATCCCAATGCGGCCAAGAACGATGCCAGGGAGCTGCTCAAGGCCGGAGAACTGCGTGTCGGCACAGACGAAAGCATGTTCAACATGATCCTCTGCCAGAGGAACTACCAGCAGTTGAAAATGGTATGTGATCGAAGGGATTTTAATAAATTAATATCATCCGAGAGAATGATTGCTATTGAACTTCATATAAATGTACTATAATATCTATAATATATAATAGCCCATAAACATAATCCATTTGACTTACCGACATTCCTCTTTTCCTGCAGATATTCCAGGAGTACGAGGGCATGACTGGCCACTCGCTGGAGAAGGCCATCAAGAAGGAGTTCTCCGGCGACGTGATGGAGGGCCTGATTGCCATCTACAGGTGTGTCACCAACAAGGCCGAATACTTTGCCTCGCGTTTGCACAAGTCGATGGCCGGAATCGGAACCAATGACACCCAGTTGATCCGTGTCATCATCACACGCAGCGAGGTAATTAGATCTATAGCACTGTGCTGCTTGGACTCGGCTAAGATGGTATACTGATTTTCAGATTGATATGACGGACATAAAGGTGGCTTTTGAACGGCTGTACGGCAAGCCGCTAAAGAGCTGGATCAAGGTAAATATACACATTAAAATTATCCCATTGAAAATAACCACATGAAATATATATTTCAGGGCGACACTTCGGGCCACTACAAGCATGCTCTCTACGCCCTGGTGGGTGAACAGCGGTCATCTTAAGAATCTCCATATATTTATTATTCAAACCAAATCGAACTTGAAATCAATTATTCGGATATGTCTTACCTTTTTCATGTATTCGATCATTTACATACATACAACATACACGCCAAGGGAGCCAAACAATTATGACCCACTTTGTGGACTTTAAGTGCTCACAATTATTACCTGAACAATTTGATACCTCTATAAACACCTAACCTATGGGTTAGCAAGAGTTGTATTTGTTTTTTAATATTAAAATACCTTTGTATTTAAATGCGCTCGGAAAGACAAAAAGACATATATGTTGAAGTTCCTCGAGTGAATCACTTGCTACTTTGCTAATATTTCAAGTGACCACATAAATGTTGCAATGAATCTTTCTACCTACCGACTTCGTCTCGACAGTGCCTCAATGTACCTTTATTGCCTACTTCAAAAGCATTTAAAATTGCAAAAAACATACACTAAAATATATGCATATTAAAACCAAGCATCGATTTGTATTCACTTACACACTACTATACACTACTCGTGTTTGTAAGCGGGTTTTTTAGGCTTCTAGCTCGCTCTCAATGGAATAAATTATTATATATATGTATGCATTAAATCAATGGAATTTTTCCTTGTCAATATAGTGGGCATATCACTTGAGGACTCGCACCTCAATGAACATGGAATCGTTGCGAAGATAGTTGCGACTGGTGATGACCTTGTGGGGTATATGAAAGTACTGGTTGCTCTGGATGAAGTCGTCGCTCTTCTTGCGCACAAATATGGTTTTCACATAGTCCTCGGCCTCCGCCGGATTGGAGCACTGATCCCGGATGATGATCTCGGCCTGGAGGCGGCAGGGCCAGGCCAAAAGGGGATCGTACTCCCCGGAAAGGACGTTCAAGCAGGCGATCATGTTCCGTCCCTTCCACGTGCCCTTGCCGTTCAAGTATATATCCAGCTGGAGATGGTTCAAATGTAGATATACATTTAATATCTAAACGGGATAACATCTCAACTCACCCGAAGAGCATAGCTAAATGCTTTATTGGAGAACATGGAGCTGTGGAGAATGGTGTCGTACTGCTTCGACTCGTCCAACTTCTTGGAGTAGTCCTTGATGCGCCAAATCAAGTGGCCTGAAAGTTTATAAATTAGAATTAAATATGGCTAAATATATAAATTTAAAATTCAAATATTAGTTTAAATCTGATTTGGGTCAATTGAGTAGAAATCAGTTGCTAACAAACACTTCACTATAGTACGAGTATTATGTATAAATCCGGACGTTGTAGCTTTACTGACTTGAGCTCTGCATTGAACCTTTGAATCTCACCTCTTATATTCTGCACACTAGCGATGCGCTGCTGCATGGCCATTTGGGTCTCCAAATCCGATAAATTCTGCATGGTCTGGTGAAGGGCTCGATCCAATTTGTCGCAACGCTCTTCGGTTTCGCACACAATGTTCTTAACATTCTTAACCTCGTAGTCCAGTGTTGCCTGCTTCGAGGTGACATAATCACTGTTGCCCAATTTGTTTTTGATGTCCTCATTAATCTGCTGCAGAAATTCCTCGATCTGAAAGAACTTTTCCCTGGGTTTTTGTTTAAGAATGCTGTCACGATTTTAAACACCACTCACCTGTTCAGCCTCTCGTTTTCGAAGATCAGCTCTTCCAGCTTGAGGATATTATCATTCAGCTGATTCTGGTGAACGGTCACGTCCGCTGAGAGTTGATTAACCAACTTTTGTGCCTCGTCCAACCTCAACTCGACTTGCTCCTTCAACGACTACGGTAGATTAAAATTGGTATATCATTATTACAATAACAGACATAGCTGTAAAATATAAGACACCCTTTGCTCATACTTCGTTATTTTTTTTATTGTGTTTTCACTCTGGTTCTTTCTTACAAGGCTTAAGTATTGAGATTTCCCTAAGTTTGTAGTTCCGCAGAAGAAGGTTAAACCTTTATTTGTTTTATGTATTATATTATTATTATAACAAATAGAAAGAATTGTTTTTATTTTATTTTATTTTATTTTCTTATTTTCCGAAATAAACGATCATTAGAAAAGTTACTAATCAATAATGACTACTGTCTAATGTATTGTAAGCCCCCTTTACTCACCTGGGTGATATCACAGCAGTACTGGACATCCAGCTGGTTCTGTTCGATGGCAAAGACCCTGCGCCTGGTTTCCTCGTCCATCTGGTGGCGCAGCTCGTCCATCGCCTTCTCGGTGTCGCGCGTCCAGTCCTCGACGACTTGGTTCTGCTTCCGGATATTTCCCACATCGGTGATCAGGTGCAGGCGCTGGCGGATCTCCTCGTTGAGAACGGATCGAATGGTGCCCACATCCTGCTCGATGACTAGGAGGCGCTGGTCGGACTGTCGATCCAAACGGTCCATGCTGACGCTCATCCGATTGTTCACGTGGTTCTGGCTCTGGTTCTGCTGACTCGTTCGGGGGCACTCCTTCTGGTGCGATCTCATCCGGATGCGCGGGATGAAGGCCTGACAGCCGTTGGGACACTCCTCCAGCACCTGGCCGCAGTGGATCAGGTGTTCCTGCAGTCGCATCCAAAGGGGAGTAGTAATGTAATAGTAATCAAAGGGGGACTGAAATATTGGGCGATTATAACCGTGAATGTCTGGGCATCGAACCATTCGTTGCAGAAGAGGCACGAGGACTTCTCATACTTGACTATGGTCGTCGACTTGGCCGTCTGGTTGGCTGGTATGGGGGGGATGTGGCTCTGGTTCGAGTCCCTCGATAGATCCTTCCTCGACGTCGCCTTGGTCAATGACATGATTTTTGTTTGGATTTTAGAAGTATATAAAAATCAAATTGCGCTGCGAGTACCGCCCTATGCACACTAAACTCAGCCGAAAATGATTAAGAATTTCCTTCGGCATAGTCATACGCGGCACACAGACGTGGTTTAGATATAGCTTTGCACATGTGTTGGCATTAGGGCGTCCATGAAATCTATATGACAACCTCGAACTGATAGCGAAGCCATTTGGTACGGGTATATTTCGACAAAAAGAACGAGCACAAACGAATCGTATTGACCACTAACTTGGCTAACTCTTTCGTCGTCGACCATAAAACACAGCCACCAAATGTCCACTAAAATCGTTCACGATCTCCCAGCGATTGCGACTTCATGCCTATATGTAGGTGCCTGCGAAATACTCATATCTCCCAGTGTTCAAACATATATATGTATTTGCGGAATGCGAGATATCATTATCAATGAGAACGGCCCCACAATCAAAACTTTTTGGTATTGCCTCAGCAATGCAAATGGGAGCAACAACGACGCCATCAACACGATAACAATATAATTGGGCTAAAGGGGCGTGGCAGTGGGTCTGGTCGACCTAACAAGTGCCCTACACAGCCCAGGAAATCGCATATATATTTTGTACTTTTCTGGTACTTTTCCAATCGGATGACTTTATAGGTTTATAAAATGTTAGGAATTATATTTATTTATCGCAGTAAACCTTAATGCGATGGAACTACCTGAAAAAAGCAATCTTCAAAAGCTACGATATTTAAAACTCCAGCTCTAAGTTAAAGACAATTTCTACACCAAGTTGATTCCAAGTTGTACCATAGGTTTTCAAGGTTTCTTTCAGGAAAATACAAAATAAATCAATCTTAATTTTTCAACAAACATTTTTTTCTTTTATCTAACAAAAAAAAAAAGTATACATAAAGGAAATAAATAAATTAGGGGTATAAAAACTATGGGCTAGAGTCGTTTTACAAGTATGTCGACTCGAACTTTTCACGCATTTTGAGTTTCCGTTGTTTTCCGGGGAAAATACTGAAGCTCTTGATGTTTAGGGCCCGTCGGAGCATTCGGATGGTATAGTCGGGGACCAGGCAGGCCACACAGGTCAATAGGATCCACAGCCAGACTGGCAGGGAGGCCAACAGATTGTTGTAGGCCCAATAGATGTCGGTGTCGTAGTCCCTGCACAAGACATATGGTTACTATTCAGAATTCAACCCACGAACTAATTTAGGCAAACTCACAGATTGATAACGTTGTAGATAACCGTTGTGATTACAAAACCCAAAATGGAAATGATGATGGTGAATATGTACCAGAAAGACAGGTACATCGACTCGAGCCAAAGCTTGAGGTTCACCACCACGACCACCGTCCACATGAGCAGGGTTCCGAAGCAGGAAAAGGCCACCGTCTGGCCGTAGTTTAGGATCACGTTGTTATAGGAGAAGAGGCAGAAGGCGAAGTAGAAAATGATGACGGAGTGGTATACGGCAAAGAGCACCCACATAAGGAAGTATGGCCAGTGTAGCTGCTTATTGTCCGTATTCTTCTTGTAAAGCTGCGGCGTTCTGAGATTGATATTGAGAAGGATTATTAGTACTGTCTGGAGTAAGTTTCATTGCACTCCAAACGCCATACCTCATTAGCTTTTCCTCGGTGTATGGCTTTTCGGAGATGGCTATGAAGAGAATGGGCAGCGAGGTGTATATCACATTATACAACGTGAGGAACAGGGAGTCGTAGACGGAGGACGAGGAGAACAGGGTGTGGAACTGGAACAGGAACATGAGGCCCATGAAGACGATGTTCTTGTAGAAGAAGTACAAAACCAGCAAGGACAGTCGGACACTGTGGTAGTGGCCATGGACGAGGAGCAGTCGCTTCAGCATGCAGAACTTGGCAAAGGCAAAGTCCGCACAACGGGCCGCCTGCCTGCCCTCGCGTCCCATGATTCCGATGCCCACATGGGCCTCCTGGATCATCGAAACATCATTGGCCCCATCGCCAATGGACGCCGTGTTGTAGTTCTCGTTGGAGGACTTGATCAGCGACACCACCTCGCTCTTCTGCAGCGGACTGAGGCGACAGCACAGGACGGCTGTGCACTTGACAGCCACGTCACGGAACTCCGAGCTGGCCTCCGCCAAGGCCACGCCCAAGCTCTTGCCGTCGATCAGCAGGGCGCACTCCTGGCCGATTCCGAATATGATCTCTCGATCCAAGGCGTTCAGGTGGAGGAGCATCTCCTCGCGGTTCTTGCAGTCGATGATGAAGTACTTCTTGGCATCGGGCGGAATGTGTCCGCAGGACAGGGCAATGTTCAGTGCGGTCTCCACTTTATCGCCCGTCAGCACCCAGATCTTAATCCCTGCCGCCTGCAGGGACACCAGCGTATCCGCCACATCGTCTTGCAGGGCATCCTCTACAGCTGTCGCTCCCAGCAGGTCAAGATCTTTGGAGAGAACATATTATGTGATATTTATTACAAAACATGAAGGGGGAGAACAAGGACTAGTCAACAATGTGGGACAATTTCAATGAGAGCTTTGGCATAAAGTTATCATATTTGGATTAAATTAAATTTATATTTCTATAGTACTCACTGCTTTCGATCTTCGCGTAGCACTCCTCGCTGAGCTGTTTTCGACTCTCCAACGAGCTATTGGCCTGGGCCAGTTCCACGAGGAAGTCCTGATACTCCTCCTCCGCAATCAAACGCCGGGCAATGGCCAAGGTACGCAGGCCGAGACGGGCAAAGTCGCTGATGTGGGCGTCCGTCTTTGAGACGAGATCCGCCGAACTGTTGGCGCAGAGCGGGAAAACGTAGCTCTCGGCGCCCTTGGTATAGATCCACTTCCTGCCTTCCGTATCCCGGACAATGACACTCATTCGCTTGCGGTCCGATGTGAACTCGAGGACGTGGAGTCGCTGGAAGGTCTCCTCCTTGGGCTTTGCAAATGGTCGCTTGTAGTCCATGTGGGGCGGCACAATCCTCACGCGCAGTGTTTCGTCATCGTCTCCGGTGTAGACCATTCCCAAATTGGCACAGGCCTCCACCAAAGCCTTCTCGTCCGGACTGGAGGCCTGGTAGTCCAAGGTGCTGTGAAGTAATGTGAAATAATATATATAAAGTATTAAAGATATAAAAAAATCTACATCTACAATGCGAATTTCCCTAGATCTTATTTAGCTAATGCTAATCGAACTAGACTTTACAAAAACTGAGATTTTTCGGATACCACTAAATTTAAGTTATCCATCTACATGACTTACAATATGAAGTCGCGAATTTCGTTCTTTCTGCGCTGCGACTCGGCACGCATGAGAATTGTGGGCTGTCGGGTGAAGGTGGGTGCGGCGTAGGATTCCCGGGAAGTGGTGCTGGTGGATCGAAAGAGGACATTGGCGGGCGGAGAGCTGGCTGCAATGGGGTTCGTGAGGTAGGCATTGGGCGCTCCATAGGAGTGGGCCCTCCGGTGGCCGGGAGCCTGGCCGTTCTGCGGCTCCCAGGACTGCTGCAGATCCTTCTCTGAGGTAGACCGTCTGAATTGCAGGGAAATGGGCCGATAATTGGGAGCGGTCTCCACTCCGTTCAGGGTCGCATTCCCATTAAGGACGTCAGTCTGGTTGACACTCAGGTCGATGGCAGAAGCGGGCTGGGCTGGAGCATTTTGCATCCGATTGGAGCGGGCAAAGTTGGGACTCCTCTTCACCACCACCGGACGCTTGCGACGCTCCACGGCACCGTAACTGTCGTCGGAGACGAGCAGGGGATTGACATCCGATGAAGTGGCCGTCGAATTGGAGCCATTCGGATGACCCGACAGCGAGTTGTCGATGGTGTGGCTAACGTTAAGCTCGCTCTGCTGACTAGCATTGTGACTCTCCTCGGTGATGTCCGAAATGGAGTACATCTCCGGCGGACCCGACTTAATGGCCACAGCCACCGGGGGCTCCCTCTTGGTGGCCCCCGCATCCGCCTCCTCCAGAGAGCCGGAGGCCACCTGAACCGTGTGGCAAATGGACAGGGCCTGGAAGAAGACGCGCTGGCTAGCCTGTAGAATATGGAATATAATTAACAGCCGTTGCATAGAAAATATAAAACACAATTAGAATAGATATAACCTACATTGAACTTGTTGATATCCAAGAGCGCCTTGGTCTCCTCATCCTCCAGCCGCGTCTTCTTGAACAGGAACTTACTGCCGTCTATCGAGCACTGCTGGAAGTTCATCTCGTTCTTGGTCAGCGTGCCCGTCTTATCGGAGAAGAGTATATTGATCTGGCCCAGTTCCTCGTTCAGGTTCGATGTGTTCACCACGCACGGCTGGTCGGTCTCCTTCTCGTACAGCTCGATGTCCCACTCCATGAACCAGCTGCTGATCCCGCGCTGCAGCTCGATGGTCACGTACAAGGAGATGGGGATCAGGTAGTTGAACAGGATCAGGAACGACAGGTAGTCCTGCAGGAACTGCTTCACGCTGTAACTGTCCGTCGCATCCCCCAGATAGGTAAGCTTGGGTATCACAAACAGCTCGTTGTACCTGGTAAAAGAAGGAACAAAGGTGGTTTAATTGAAGCTTTACAAAATCTATTCGTCAATAATCCAATATCCTTAAAAAGATGGTAATGTTTTGTATAAATATTTTTTAGATAGAAGTTTTTTTAAGCATCGCAACTGATTCTTATATAATTGTATTTCTCCCCACCTATTAACAAGATCCCAAATACACCCCAGAAAAACTCACCTCTTCAAGAAGTACAGCAAGGTGACTATCGCGATGAGGGCGATGAGTATGACGATCAGGAAGCGATTGATGTACGTCTCGCTGGAGGCGTTCTTGTTCCGGGTGAGCCGGCTGTTCAGCTGCAGCTTGGAGATCATGCCCGTATAGACGGCGCACCCGATGACGCACTCGGTGTTTTTCACCCGCGATCCGCGCAGCAGGACATTCTCGGCGGACAGGGGCAGGACTCGTCCCTCGCCGCCCTTCAGCTCGATCTTGCCGTTGAAACTGTACAGATCCGTGGTGGGACTCTCGCACTCGATCACGCCCAGCTTGTGCATCTCCTGCAGGTCCACGGTGGGCAGGTCCCGCGGCACCATCAGGGTCTTCAGGTTGGACTCACCGTCCAGATTGGCCGTGGTAATGAAGCACTTACCATGCGGATCTGTGGATCTCAGCAGGACCAGATCGCACGGCACATCGCAGTCTCGCTCGACTACGATTAGATCCCCGGAAATGACGTCCTCCGACTTAATAATAGCCTCCTTTCCATCCCTGATAACCGTGACTGTAGATCGAGCATAAGGGGGTTTTAAAAATTAAAATTTAAAAAAACCTTAAATTCTAAGCATTGATATGTTTACTCACCTGGCGAAGAATTTACCACGTTGTCTGTCCTATATCGAAGGATATCTTCATAGCCCTGTTTAGCTGCGGTCACGGCAATTACAAAAACCAGGGGTAAAAGCGAGGTCATCGGAGATACCGGACTATCTAAACATAAAAAAATTGAGACGTTTAATCTTAGGATATTTAACTTTCGTATGAGACATGAAACCATACGAAACCACTAAAAATTGTATTTATAAATCTATTTTGTGGTTTTTCCATACATATTTACCAATTAAAAGGGATATTATTGTCATCACCAGGAAGTAAAAATTCGCAATGCGGCGAAATTGTTCCAATAGATTTTGTGGCAGGAATGTGATCAATGTGTATTTCGTCGATTTTATGCGGTTTTGGCCCTTTGGCCTTTTTTTCTTCACATCCTCGGGCCCACCAATTTGTATTTGAAGCCAATCATTTATTGTACTAACTCGGGAGCCCTGGAAAACATGGAATCGAACAAAAAATGGTAGACATGCAGATAAGAATTTGTATTATCAGAATATTTCTTCAATGTATTCGCAATGAATCAGCGGCCAAAATTGGCCAGAGGTGAGTGAAAGAAATACAGTAAACATAAATTGCTAAAAATATTTTTTACCTTTCAATAGAGCTTTTACTTTTAAAATAACAATAGACTAATTAAAAGCACCACAGAAAGGGGGAATCCCTTTCTTATTCGTTTAAGGATTTAAAATCAGCTTCAGTATATATCACTCATACGACACATAGACCAGAGAAATATAACTAGTCTTATATATTTATGCTTTTAATTTCGAAACCATTATTAAACCATTCAACAGGTAAGTACCTAATGCTTTCCTTATAATGCTAATAAATTGTACATAAATATATATTAATAACAATGCTAAACAACAATGCCTGTTTAGTTGTCAAATATTCCCAATAATTATATCACAAACCTTATGCCAGTTCCATAGGAATGCGTCCTTGAGATGGAACGATTCCTGATCTGCCCACGCTGTTGTGGCTGCGGGATAGGATCGGATCTGATCGATGGGTCGAAAGCCGCTCAGATGGTCATGGCGAAAGAAATTCATTGTTCATCATTCTAAGATTGACGCATTTGGTAGCGGTGTGACCACTGTCGCGTCCGATCATCTCTTTAAAGCCCTTTCACGGAACTGATTTTTCCGGACAATAACAAGCCAATGGAAACTTTACGACGATTCTCTCGATTTCGCGTTTTGGATTGCAATCATATTTTAATACACCTACTATTTGACTATTGTTAATTATTGTTTATCCATCGACACTCGGTCGCACATAAGCTTTTTACGCACAAAAGATCCGGATCTCTATAATATTTTATTGCATAGTGCGGATACATTTGCACGAAGCATATTTGGTTTTACGGCCTATATCATAGCCTTAAATCACCAAAACTAAGGTCCGCCCCAATGCACATACAGACATTTGTATATTTATCGACTTTTTCTCAGCACACTTAATATATAACCTTAAAACGATGTTAAGTGGGCAATTTTAACACTTCAATTGAACAGTTCTATGATGCACGTCCACGACCATTGAGGCACGTATCTATACACATTGATTTTTTTATGGGTTTGTACATATTTGCTTTCGGATTTACATAGATCTTATCTTTCGAGCCGCACACACACTTGTCACTATTCTATAAGCGAAGTCCGATCATTCAGTATATCCTTTCAAGATGATTTATTAGACTAACAACTAATAGTTCGCGAGATAGCCGCGTGATGTGCGCTTGTGAAAAGCCGTTCTCACACTGAGAATTCGATCTGCATTTCCATACCCACACCTATTACGATCCCATACCCATTCCCATTCCCATACCCATTCACAGCTTCAAAATCGGTCGGATCGTAGCGCCACAGCTTTAGCTTCAGCTTCGGGCATCCAATAAAAGCTCGAAACTTATTGACGTCGCCAGTTTAAGTTTGCAATATGTTTGAATGTACCATGTACATATATATCCACACACGAAGACATTCGGGAACTAATAGGTTCAAAGTGCATAGTTAATTTGCCGTATTGTCAATTCGATGACGTCCCACTCAAATCAAATCTCATAAAAACCAATTGTTTAAGATCTATGTAGCACTGACTTTTTCATGCACAAGGCAAATTTAATTGTGTGTTTTTGGCCAGCAGGTAATTGAGTTATTACAATACGACTTCGCAATTATTCAACTTATTGTAATAGGAGATAAGAGAGCCTCGGCAGTACAAACTTATGAGAAGCATTAATTTAATTATATCAAAAAGTTGCAAATTGATAACTAATACCCCAAAAAAAGGTGTGTTTACCATGAGAAGGATCATAAAACAATACAAATTTAAGAAATATATAAATACGTACAAATTCTTTTGAAAACCTACCATTTTGCGAGTTCGAAAATGAGTCATAAAATGACCCTGGTATAACCGAAATATTAAACATTAGTTTAATAGGATTAAAACTGGACAAAAAATAAATAAAAACAAAACTTGGCGTGGTCCAATTTGTAATTTAGGATTCCGAGCAGAGAATGGCGTGATGGAATTCTAAGATTATAAAGTTGGACTCCAACTTTATCTAACCGAAGCTATCTCTTTTTCTCTCACATATCGACAAACGGCGTTACTTATCTTATATATATATGAAATTAGTTGACGGATATAAACAGGCACACACTCTCATAATTACATTTATACTGGCATGCTTTTTGAAATGGCCTTATAACACACATATTGTATACTTGAACAATGGTTTCTTATTGATGTTACACAACCGAATGCCAATATCGGAACTCACCCTCTTCTGAAGAAGTCTTTCGAAGAACTTGCCCATGATGATGATCCCTTGATTTTATCCACTGCGATGGGGGCTTTTTAGAGCCTTTCCAAGTTCATATACCTTCGTTCGAGTTTGAGGACAATGTGGTACCGACGCGAAACAATAGCATAACTGACTAAAACTGACCGATTTCTGTATCTCTCTAAAATACTTCGTTACCACGAATTCGTCGTATTGCTTATCGGGAATAACGTTTTTTGAAACCAATAGCCGACTAGCCAGGTAATCTCTTCGTTAGATTCCGATGAGTAAGGTACCGCCGATCAGTTTTCAATAGTCGAAGCTCGCACACTCTTGTTTTATATGGATAGACCAACACTTGGTCTATCCATTGGATGGTTGGCAAGGAAATAACTCCACTGAGTGGACATTTCAATTAATATTGCACTCGAAGAATCGTCACTCGAATTTGATCATTTTACATTATCAGTCGAGGGGCTCAGGGCATTACATGAATATTGTTTTGTTTTAGTATTCAGTTTACAACGAACAACGCGCCCGATCTTAGATAGACCTACTGTCATCCAAAGCGTACTTTCCAAACTGATATCCGTGCAAGAGAACCGGGTCCATAATCCGATATCCTCCCCAGTCAACTGAGAGATCGGTCCTCTCTTCACTTTTGGGAGCTTAACTACGCGGCTCTCTTGGGCTCTTGGGGCGCGAGACCTACCCATATCTATCTGCTTATATAGTATGTAAACTGCCAAAAAAAACTGATAAGATTATGGGAATATCTAAGTGCCGGCCAACTCAGCTGACTAATCGACGGTGACAGCGAACATTTGAGCGACAATTGGAAAAAAAACGTACGTCCATGGGCATGTTTCTTAAAGGGTTGGGTTCACTGTAGCCTGTAGCCCATTCTGCAGACATATATCATCGAATCGATATACGAGTGTCTATCTTTTCGTCACCATGACTTCAACATCTCCTCGTCATTTTACAGTCCATAAATTCCGATAAGAAATCCGGATTTTGACGAGCTACATTGGGGAGTACTTATTTATCACAAAGCACTGAAAATACCTGAGGCCAAAAGCACTATGTAAAGTCCGTTTTACAACTTTGTATTTCACCAGCAAAAGAGCTTATAAGGTAAGATAAGAAAGAATTCAGCAATTGATATCAATATTTAAAAAGTATTAGATTTCTAACACTCAAAATCCCCAAAATCACTTTAACTTATAATTTTAACTTTTTCAAATATTTGTTATAATACTTTTTTTAATTTTGCTATTATCTTAAACACACACCATCCTTAAATCACTTTAACTTATAACATTAGCTTTATTTTTTCACAAATTCATATCGTTCAAATGAATGCATTTATAACTTAGCCGCAAGAATGTATTATTTTTATTGTGACATACCATGTTTCTAGCGACTAAATTATGTTTGAATTGTTGAAGTACTGAGTTGTTTTTCCGCGCTTTGATTGGACAATCACCCGATGTCCTCTGGCCAAACAAACAGGTAAACAAACAGCAAGCTTTATTGGCGAAATCAAATATATATAAGACAAATATATTTATACAGGTATATGTCTATATATTATTGCACACCGAATAAGGAAAGGAAAGAGAGACCTTCCACGCGCAAACTGATCTATCGGCAAACTGTCGAAGAATTGTTGATACCGATACCACTAACAAAGCCGCCGTACATATAGGCTAGCCTGTCGGACCTTTCCATGCATGTTCATGTATAAAACATATATATATATATATACAAATACGTAGCCATAGCCATACCCATAACACACCCAGACCAGGGTCTTACCAACGTTTAGATATCCCTAAATACGTGCATACCAAGTGCATTGCACTCTCTAATAGTTGATATAATAAAAACCATATACGATCCTCACAAATACTCTCTTTTTTCCGTTTTCTGGTGGGTGGGGGAGGGGGACGTTGTTCAGGTCTCTCGTGAGCGAATAAGCCCGCGGTTTTGCCATTAGTCGAAGAGATAATGTCGATAACAATATCTTATCGTTCAGCATTGAACGGACTCCGCACAAACCGCGCACATCCGTCGGGCTTACGGACAAACGTATCTGAAAATCGTGCAACTGCCACCTTGACTCACTTATCCCTTAAAACATGTCTGCATCGTCTGTGAAAACCCATCCGGTGTTCCTGTGTGTCCCATGGCCGATGAGTCGATGGAGACCAAACCTTATCACTGGCCTGAAATGAGTCAAAGGTAACTATACGCAAATAGGAACGTTATTGATCGATGGCTGGAAATACGACTTTCGCCCTTATACACATGACCGCTGGGGGTCAATGCTGGGATCCCGTAAAATAGATTTTCGCAAAAAAAACTAATATTTAAATATCATGAAATTGTGACAATTTTATCATTGAGGCATTTACCAAGGAGCTTACATGAAGAAGAGTTAAGCATTAGCAACAAATAATAACTTAACAATAGCCAACATGGCGGATGAGTAATATTTTTCAGTACCTAATTCTTTTTCTTGCATGTAAATAAAAAGTAGTTTAAAATGGATAAACAAATAAATAAATGAATTTATGCATTACATTTATTACATTACATTTATACATTAATTTTCAGGATATACCAAACATATACAAATAAGTTATAACGGTTATAATTATACTCCAAAAATTCACTTGTTTTGACTTTGAATTTGCAAAAGCTTTATTCTGTTAGCTTTTAAAGTTAGCACGTTAATCGCTTAGAACCGTATCGCATGGTAAGGCTGATTAAAAATATATGGAATGTATAATATGTATACCTACATATTAACTGAAATACCCTTTGCAAAATTACAGATTTTTGATACTTTTAATTCAAAGTCGCTCCCGCCTTTTAGGCAACGTTTTTTTAGGAAATATGTCAATAGTAGGTATTTCGTAGTCGGATCTCGCCTTTTTCTCTGCGCACAGAAGCAGGGAGTCCAGAGCTCAAACCCCTTCAATTATTTTTAAAAACAGCTTTAAGTGCCGTGGCTATAATCGAAGTGTTGTGCTGATTAGACTGGTGATTAGGCTAGTATGTAAACCGATATCAGATGGATTAGATATTGGAATTTTAAATAGGGGGTGCGCTAATATAAAAAAAGGTTTGTTCCATTGGTCCGAACTAATCTTTAAATTATTTGTTGGCAGTTGAACATAGTGAGGGCGATTACCATTTAAATGTATTATTAATCTGACATAAGGAGTGCATCTAATCTGAGAAACGAGTGTTGGACTAATCATGTCATCGACAAAACGCCGGAAATAGAAATTCTCTGTGTCCATTCGATGGGATAGCTCTTTGACAGGGCCACTTGGAAACCTGAATTAGGCTTTATATAAGTGGTCAATGGCAATGGAACATTATCTTTATCATACGCCAATTTATGTGGCTGATTTAGCTGAAAATTCAGTCTAACTTTTGCTCCGCAAGGCAACACGCGTGCGCACCTCCGATAGTTTTTCGCTTCTCGCCTATAATGAATATCTGAATGATCCAAATTCGAAACGATAGCGAATAGCAGTGCTAATGGGTGCGAGCAAGGCAAAGTCTGGGGATCCCCAGCGGATTCAGATCGGTGGCATTGCGAGTCGCCCAAAGAAACCTCTCAACCGGGTGACCACCACCAAGTACACTTGGCTGACCTTTCTGCCCCTCAACTTCTATGAACAATTCCGACGAGCTGTGTACTTTTACTTTTTGATCATCACAATTATATCCTTCTTCGTGAGTAAGTATGATTGTCCCTCTCCCACTTATCACATTTCCAGAATGAATACACTAACTTTTCCGTCATCATAAAAAACAATTAGATGAAACTATATCGCCACTGGTTTCCCTGCTTCCGCTGCTCTTTGTCATGATCATCACGGCGCTTAAAGAGGGCTTGGAAGACTTATCGAGGTCGAAAAGTGATAAACTCGTAAACACAGCCAGAGGTAAGTTATATATTTAAAAAAGAACGAGAGACTGGAAAACCTTACTTGAACTATCAGAAACTTTGAGAGGGCTTTCCGAACACATTTTTGAAAACTTTATTTTCCATAGGATTTCACTTGGCCTACGCCACTGCTTTTAGTATCGTTTAAGTAATAAATTCAAACTCCCATTTACAGTCACTGTCATTCGGAACGGAAAGGAGGAGGTCATCAACTCAGAGTTCATTGTGCCAGGCGACCTGGTGGTGGTAAGAAACGAGGGGGATGTGCCCTGTGATCTCGTCCTGCTGCAATCGTCCAGTGCGGATCGAAGATGTTTCGTGAACACGGCCAATCTTGATGGGGAGACCAACCTGAAGACCATCCTAGTGCCGTCAAATTACGTGCTGTCGCCCGAGGATAGCGTGGTTAAGGTCAAGGATTGCATTGTTTGCGAGACCTCTACCTTTGATCTCTACAGCTTTAACGGACGTCTGGAAACGGGAGGACAAGGAGGAGAAGGAGGAGATGGTGCCCTGCCCCTGACAATTGAGAATCTTCTGCTTCGCGGGGTTCGTATCAAAGGCACCGATCGGGTAGTCGGATGCGCCATCTACACCGGAATGCACACCAAATTGCAGCTGAATAGTCGCTATACGGGAAATAAGTCAGCTTCCAGCGAGAAATATATCAACAGGTTCATGGTGGCCCTCATCGTGGGCATGATCGTGGTGGTGGTGGTCCTGTACCTCATCGAACGGTGAGTCGATCTATTGATACGTTTATAAGCTTGTTGTAAGGGAACATCCACTTCTTTCCTGCAGACACAAGGAAAAGAAGATTGTCCCAACGATGCCCTTCCTGGGCCCACCTACCAACTTCAATTCGGCGTGGCAAATCTTCGAGGACTTCCTCTCGTTCCTGCTGCTCTTCAATTACATGGTGCCCCTTTCCGCTTATATGAACATCGAGTTGTTTCGAATTTTCTCAATGCATTTTATGCACAACGATCTCGGTTTATATGACGAGGAAACCGATCAGCCGTGCCGCGTCAACGCCTCCAATCTCAACGAGGAACTGGGTCAGGTGAACATCCTCTTCTCGGACAAAACCGGCACGCTCACCAAGAACCTTATGAAGTTCGTCAATTGCTATGTGTCGGGTACAAATTTCCAGCTGCAAAATACCCATCTTCTTTGCGAGGACACCGGTGAACAGTTTGAACTGGATAAGCTTGATGTGGGTACTCTTACTACTACTTATAAACAATATAAGTTCTTAAACAAAATCCTGGCTACACCACTGGTTTTAAAGATATGTTTTTCTGGACTGCAACTAAAAATACTCCCTTTCACTTAATTGCAGGCCGAGGCCAATGTGTTTTTTGAGGCACTATCAGTATGCCACACCGTAGAAGTGCTCCAGGAAGTGTGCGACAAGCCACAGGAGTCGGAGAGAAGTCACTTAATGAGCCGAAAGATCGTTGATCGCTATCAGGCGACCAGTCCCGACGAGAAGGCCCTGCTCGAGGGCTGTGCCAGCTTGGGTCTGGTGTACGAGGGTCAGGACAACGATGTCCTGCGTATCTGTCGTTATCCAAGCGCCGAGAGGCTGCAGTTCCAGCGCCTCCATGTCCTGGAGTTCAGTTCGGAGCGACAGCGGATGAGCGTCATATTGCGAGATCAGAGCGGCGGCTCCATCTGGCTGTACTCCAAGGGAGCGGAGAGCGCCATCCTGCCCCGGTGCAAGGCCAGTCCTCGGGTGGAGCAGACTGACGGGCTGATCACAAAGTACGCCCAGAAGGGTCTGCGCACCATGGCCGTGGCCCGACGCCCGCTGACCGAGGAAGAGTTGGCCAATTTCGAGGTGCTCTACCGGAAGGCAAACACCCAACTGAGCAATCGCAACCAGCTGATAGCGGAATGCTACGAAACGGTCGAGATTGGTAAGCACTTTTGCCTGAAAAGGGACTCGAATAAACTTATAGGCAGCTGGAACATATGATCCTTCGAGCCGGATATCGTGAAACCATTTACAATCCCGCCTTTCCTCGCAGACCTTGACCTGCTCGGCGCCACTGCCTTGGAGGACGCACTGCAAGAGAACGTGGGCGAGACCCTGGAGGCTCTGCAAGCGGCTGGTCTAAAGATCTGGGTGCTCACCGGCGACAAAGTGGAAACGGCCTACAACATCGGACTGGCCTGCCGGCATATTCCACCCGGATCGAAGCAGCACTTTATCGTCAACCTCACTGAGCCGGCGGAGCTGCTGGCGCGACTAGAGGAGATAGGGTCCGATAATCCGGAGGTCCTGGTCGTCGATGGGACGACCATCACTGCACTGCTGAAGCACACGCCCCGCCAGTTTGCCGATCTCGCCCTGCGGTGCCGAGCGGTACTCTGCTGCCGGTTGAGTCCACTGCAAAAGTCCGAGATCGTCACACTGATCAAGCGGCGTAAGAAGCACATAACGGCCGCCATTGGCGACGGAGCCAACGACGTGTCTATGATCCAGGAGGCGCACATCGGCATTGGGATCACGGGTCGCGAGGGAAAACAGGCCGCGCGGTGTGCGGACTTTGCGATTGCCCGCTTCGAGATGCTGCGCCGCCTGCTCCTCGTCCACGGACACTACAACTCACAGCGCCTGGCCTTTCTGGTGCTCTTCTACTGCTACAAGAACATCATCATCACCGGGTGCATGGCCATCTTCCAGGTGTACGACCTGTACTCCGCCACCAATGTCTACAACTCCCTGTACCTTTGGCTCTTTGACTTCGTCTACATCTCGTTTAGCTTCACGTACCTGGCCATTTCCGACAAGGACTACAGCGAGGAGACGCTGCTCAGGTACAGGATAACATCCATATATCCAAATATATTCTCTTCACATTCATTTCTTCTCAGACATCCGGAACTATACAAGCCACTCGCCCACAATCGACAGGCGTCCATGGGAGTGTTCAGCTTGTGGATCCTCAACGGCTTCGTCCAGTGCTTCATAATCTTCTATTTCACCTATGCCGTGCTGAACGACGAGAACGTCGTCTTCAACGGCGGGCAAACGGCCAGCTTCCAGACCTTCGGAACCATGCTGATAACAATTATCGTGATTGTGGGCAACCTGAAGCTGCTTTTGGTGGCCCGATATATGACCTATCTGAACCTTGCCATGATCTTCGGGCAAATTGCCGCCTTTATGCTGACCACGTACTTGTACAACCTGGTCGCCTCTGGGGAGCTCTACGATGTGTACAACCAGTTCCTGGCCTCGCTGCCACTTTGGCTGTTCACGATAGTCTGCTCGGCGGCCTGTCTGCTGCCCGACTTTATCTTCAAGGTCGTTAATGACATGTTCAGAAAAGTACCACCGGAAAGCAAGGCAGTCGTATAAGCTGTTAGAAGTATTTACAATTTGCTATGGTCATTAAATGTTTGACACTCTTCAATTCTGAATGTTGTTATTACTCAAATTAGGTAGGTTATTGTTTTACATTGAATAGGAGCTTTACAACAGAGGACAAGAATTCGAATTAAAAATGTATATAGTTACATCTAAACTATCTCGACTTAACAAGGAACCACATTTATTTACACATATTAGAGGAGACAATCTGTAGAGTACCAGTATTTGTTGGCAATCGTTTAAAGAAATGCTCCCCAGCCAATGTACATACATGCCAAATTGTCCACCTTGGTTGCCTCGTTTATGAGAAAGTTTACCTGTCCTTCGGTCGAAAGAGGAATGCTGTTGGCCTGCTGGCGTTTAACCTGTAAATTAAATTTAAAGCGTTGTTTTAATTTAATGCAATACAACTAATTTAGAAGTGGAACAGAAATTATTTTCCTATTAATAGAAAAATATAAAAATTGATTATCAAAATACTTACATGTCCCTGCAGGCGATCGGCAATACGCTGGACATCCTTTGTTATTTTCGCCGTGGCGGCTGCATTGCGAGTCTGCGCTCCCACGTCGTAGACGAAGGGCCTCAGCATGGACATGAGGGTCTTGGTCTCCTGCTTAAGCAGGCGCAGCGTGATCTCGCAGCACTTGCGGTAGCTGCCCTCCACGCCCAGCGGTCCCATTGCCACGATCATGTTGTGGGTGAGCCGGAAAGGCACCACCTCGGGATAGGCCAGCAGCTCGCCCTGATTGAACAGGCAATTGAAGTCGACGTGGACGGCGTCGCCGTTGCCCTCGACGAACAGGATATTCTCGCCGTGGCGATCGCCCAGCCCCACGATGTAGCCCACCATCGACATGACGGCCACTGTGCGAATGTAGGTGTTCCTCGCCTCCAGCCAACTGTGCAGGGTGACGAATCGCTGGCGCAGCCACTCCTGGAAGACCGGCGGGTGGGCAGGTATTAGCTGCTTGGTGAAGACCTCCCGCTTGCGCTCTATGGACTCATGCAGTGGCACGGCCATCTGATGCAGTTGTCGGGTGGACACCACCTGTCCCCGCTGGGTGTACAGGCTCATGCAGATGCTCCGGTACGACGCCAGATTGGGCAGCCACTCGACCAGGCCGCACTCCTCGTTGAACGGCAGCACGGCATACGTGCGGATGTGGAGACGCCGCTGCCTGGCCGGAGCGTCCTGGTGCAGATACCGCTTGACCAGGCCATTGAACTCCATCAGGCGGGCATCGCGACGCAGATCATCCTTGGGCTTCACCAAAATGTCGTAGTCTTTGCCATCGCTGCACCGAATGGTCAGCTTCTTGGGCTTCGCCGCCGAGCGCAGGATCAGCACCGACTCCTGGAAGCCGCTGATGTAGATCTGCTTGTAGGGAAACCAGTTGGCCTTCGCCGGACTTCCTGTCGGCAGCTGCGACAGCGTAGATGAGATGCTGGTGTCCGAATTCATCGGCAGCGTTGGCCGCATGTACTTCTCGAAGGGCAGGAGTATACTCGAAAAGTCCGGCTGATTGCACAGCTTGGTGAGGCGCGTGTCCAGGTCGCTCAGCTTGTACGACCGATCCAGCGTTACCTCCTTGTTGGTCAGCTCAATGAGACGCTCCGTCAGCGAGTTGAAGTCGTTGAGCAGCTTCTGGAAGGCGGCCTTCTGCAAACGACTGTCGGTGAGCACCAGTTTGCAGCGCTTGATCCTGTTGGCCTTGGCCGACTTGAAGTGCGGCAACAGCATCCAGAGCGACTGCTGCGGATACTCCTCGACCAGGCGAATTATCACATTGCGCAGAACGGAGAAGACCTCCGGCAGCGGGTGGCAGAGGCGACTCAGCATCTGGGAGTACACCGTGTAGAAGATGGCCGTCGGCAGGGCAGTGCAGCAGTTCGTCAGCAGGTCGTTCATCTTCTTCACCTGCTCGCTGTTGGTGCAGTTCTCGGTGGTGTCCAGCCACAGGCTAATCAGCCGGGGCATCGACTGGTAGACATGCTCGCTGCCATAACGCAATGACTTCGCATAGTTGACCATCACGTTGATCAGCATGTCGTCCAGTTCACTTGTGGGATCTGATTTACCACCCAGCCGGGCCTCGCGCATCTTCTCCAGAAACTGGGCCATTTGCACGAAGCAGCTCTCCGATTGGCGATGCACGGCAATTGCCTCCTCGAAGTATTTCAAAACAGCATCGGCGCACAGGTGCATCGACTCGGCACTGTACACGGCCTGCAAGTACTTGCCGCGGAAGAAGAGATGCCGCTGCTCCGGCGGCAGCTGCTTAAAGTTGCCCTGGCACTCGGAACGCATGATGGACAGCTGCTCCTCCAGGTAGTTCATGGCCATCACCTGGTCGCCCTTTTGCCACAGCAGCTTGGCGCGCTCGATGAAGAGGCCGGTGGGCTTGTATTCCGACGCCTTCAGAATATACAGTTGAGCGCGCTGCAGCTGACCGGCATTGCGATTGATTTGGGCACTGTTTAGCCAGATCCTCGCCAGCTCTGTCTGCAAGTGGGGCAGCAGGTGGGGACGATCGGCCAGGCGGCGTTGAAGCTCCGCCAGTATATTACGACGGAAGCTGTATATGGACTCTTGGACGCGAACTTGCGGCTGTATCACCTGCAGGCGATATTGCCAGTCCTTGAAGTACTTCTCCATGAGCCTTTCCTGACTGTCCCGGTCGCGATCCTGTTCGAGATTCTCCACAAGCAGCTGGCTGCACTGCAGTTCGTGCACCAAGTGCAGCTTCAACACCGCATCGTAGGCATTGGCGTACGAGTGCTGCTGCACGGCCGAGCAGCTGCGCAGCTCCTCCAGCACCGATCCCCGCATCCCGTCCAGCAATGTGTCGAATTCGGTCCGTGTCGTCAGGGGCCTGCGCAGCTTCAGACAGCCCTGGGAACACTGCGCTGGCCAGCTGGACTGCAGCTCCTCCAGCGCATCGTAGCTGCCCAGGCGCCAGAGCAGCTCAGACTTGCACTCGGCGAAGCACTGCTCCGAGTACTGGTCACTCAATCGCTGCCAGAGGCCGTCGGCAATCAACTGAGCCGTCTTCGGGGTGTCCCTCAGATAGGCATCGATCATGGCGCGCACGTGATCCGGCTGCATTTGGTCCGTGCTGGAGAGCAGCTGCTCGTAAGAGGTGATCATGTCCTGCTGCCGCTCCACCAGTCGGTTGACGAGGATGTCCTGCGTGACGCTCATGTCGTAGCTGCGGACCTGCACCGCTCCCTCCACCGAATCCGAGTCCCTGAGCGAACCGTACACCTCCACGAGGAAGGTGAATTGTTCCAACAATCTCCTCGATTTGTCCTCGCCACCCTTCTCGTCCAGATAGCTCTCCAGATAGCTAAGGGCCCGAGCGAATTCGCCACAATTGTAGCTGGCACGCGACACCAACAGCTTGGGTATCCGCTTGAGGAACTCGTGGATCTTCCGGTAGTTGGGATCCACCGTCTCCGGGGGCTTTCCCCCGGTGCTGCGGCCATGAATTCGCTGCCACTCCCTGAGCCAGCGCTGCAGAAAGTCCAACAGTTCGGCGCACAACTTGCCGGCCAAGCGGGGAACCCGACTAGAGTCCTCCTTCCGCTCCAAAATCGAACTGTTTTGCGATGGCTTGACGCCCGCGGCATACTTGCGGGACTCAAATTGCTTGAATGCACTCTCCTTGATGGCCCCCAGCTCCTGACGTCCGCGCACAGAGCTCGAGCTCTCCTCGTTGGCTCGCAGGACGGCCATGAACTCCTCCTGGATGTGCCCCGCCTGCTCCGCCGTGCACTCGAGCAGGGCGTGCAGCAGGATGTACGGATAGAAGGTGCTCAGCATGTTGCCATCTCGCTTGATGCACGGCTTGTAGGAGCTGAGCAGGTGGCGCGTGTCCGAGGGCGGGATGTAGTCGATCAGTCGACTGGCCCAGAGAAAGGCCCATTCCTCGTAGAAGTTGTGCGAGTAGTGGCTGCCAAAGAGCGGCTGCTGCAGGCAGGTGTTCGTGCGATGGCAACAGGTGTAGCAGGAGTGGAGCATCGGCTCCATCACCTGCCGCATGCGTGCTGGCAGCGATTGCCAGAGCTGCACCTTCTTCTGTTCCTTGGGCGAGATGCCGCAGGTCGCCAGCGTCTCCTGGATGGCCAGCGAGAAGCTGTCCACGTGCTTGGTGTTCTGCTGGAACTGATAGCCGCGGCACAGCGCGGTCAGGGCCAAGACGGCAAAGTCGTCGGACAATATGTTGAGCGGCACCGGCTGCGGACTGGCGAAGTTGTAGTTCGAAGGCAGATAGCTGGCGTCGATGGCTCCCAGTTCCCCGAGGCACTTGGCCGAGGCCATTTGCAGCTGGCCATCGTCGTGCTGGCAGCCAGCCATCAGGACGTTCACAATCTGCTCCAGCAGCGGTTCCAGGGGCACTTCACTGAGGATCGTACTGGTTAGCTGGTCACGTCGCCGTCCGAAAAGCTCGCCAAGTTGCTGGAGGGCATAGACGCGCACCTGCAGGCACTCGTCGGTGATGTGCTTTTGCAGGAAACGCAACTGTTCCGCCAGTTGAGGCGCAGCACTTGACTGACCCTCCTCCTCTGCCGAGCCCTTCAAGTCCAGATGGGCCGTGTGCCGCCTGATGCACTTCTGTATCGAGGGTGCGACGTGCTCCATGCGATCCAGGAAGTACAGGTCCGTAACAAAGTTGCCTAGCATGGATGCATTGCGCAGGATTATGAACTCGTACAGATCGTTCACCTGCTTCCGGCTCTCGCTGTCCGCCAGCAGCGGCTGCAACGTGGCCACAATCCTTCCCAGCGATGGTCCCAACTCCTGCACATTTACGACGTGCAGGAATATATGCCAGATCTTCAGGCAAATGCGCTGGAGACGAGGCTCCTGCAGGGTATGAACGAAGCTCAGCATGGCGATAATCTTGAACCTGAACTGGGTGACGTGCTGGGAGCCCACGAAGCGCATTATCTGGCCCAAGCTATACAGTGTCTCCTCCTTCAGCGGCTTCTCGAAGGCCAATTCGCTCAGGCAGCTCTCGAAGTACGTGATCACGCCGAGAAAACGTTCGGCGATGAAATTGGCAAACTCCGCATTGGCCGTTTGGCTGGACAGCTCCTCCTCGGAACCGATGGTCAACTGTAAGAGGCTTTGGAAGGACCGCATCACGAACGTGGGGTTTCGGTTAAAGTAAATTAGCAATTCGGCCACCGTTTGCTAGCAGGGATACAAAACAAAATGAACAAAATGATACAGCAACAAAGGAAATAATAATATGCTTGGGCCAACCTTCACATCTGCATTCATCAGCTGTTGCAGGCTCGACTGGGTGCAGCTGACCACCAGCTCGATGCACTTGTTGGCCAGCTCCGGCTCCTGGGTCAGATAGACGTGCGTGTAGATGCGCAGGAAGGAGGTGGAGAACCAGGTGGCAATGGGTTTCCGCATCTGCTTGGCTATCAGTACCAAAACTCCCTTACAACGCGGTTCCCGGATGCAGTGCGGCAGGACCATGGCGGTCACAAGGCGTTGGTACTTGCAGGTGAACTCCTGGACGCACGTGAATCCCAGCATTTTGGTGAGCTGAGAACGGGAAAGACTTTAAATTGCTGGTAAGATCAATATCTATTGGGGCCAATGGACAACTCACCGCTCGGAGTGATCGGGTGAAGCGAACGCCGTGTGAAAGATAGCCGGTTAGGGCCAGCCGAACGGCCAGATCGAGAGCATCCCGCTTGTACCAGTTCCACAAGTTAATCGTCTGCAGGCCGTGGCCGGCACACATCTCAGTGGCCGCCAGCACAGCCTCTTGGGCCACCAGCGACCGAGTGTGCACCAAGAAGAAGAATGTCATCTTGAACCAGTGGAAGAGCCAGATCTCATCGTCCTCCGTGTGCGCGATGGCAATCAGTATGTCGAGCACATGCCGCTGCTGCAAGACGTTCTGCTCGGCCAGCGGCTTGCCCAGCATGTCCTTAATGGCACCCAGAACAAGGTGGCCGAACTTCTCCATGAAGTCCGGCGACACGGCCCGCATTGCGGACACCAGCTGGCCGAGAACCTTCACACTAACCCTTTGCAGTCCCTCCGATTTCCCAAGCAGACGATGGATCACGTTGGGATCCAGGCTCAGCAGGTCCAGGTGGTGGGATATGTAAGAGAAGTCGGGATCGTACAGCAAGTCTTTGGCTATCAACGCGAGGGAGGCGCTTGAAAAGTCCAGACTCGCCATTTGCTGTTTGCACTTCCCGAGGTAAATGCCTGGAAGTTTGTCCGGCAATCGCCTGCACTTCGGGCAGTACAACTCAATGCGCTCCTGGTCCTTGAAGACACTCAAAGTGCCTGGCTGGGAGCACAGCAGCAGGCGGAGGACATGGGCGCGTCCCCTACGATTGGCAATGGAGGGCAGGGATTTGAGCAGTTGCTCCGGCTTGATGTAGCCCGCAATGTACAATTGCGGAAGATTGTTGAGGAACACCTCCTCCTCCGATTGAATGAGACCCAGGTAGTGCTGGGCATAGAATCCCTGCATCTGGGTGTGCGCACTCGAAGGCGTTTCCAAGCGAATAGCGCACAGGTGGGACAGCTCCATGTGCCGCTGGAGAATTGCCAACAGCTGGTGTTGCGTCTGCGTCTTCAAGAAATGCCGAATGAAGGAGACCTGCATGAGAAGCGAGCATATTTCCAAATATATGTCCTCGTTGTCCGAGGGACACTTCGATTCCAGCTCGACCATCTGCATTGAAATGTTATTCCAGTTGGCGTCCATTACCTTGACTATTTCGCACTGCAACGGCAACTTGGCCAACACCGCGGAGTCGATGTGGCCTTCGTTTTCGGCCGTCTTAAGCTGGCTCTGTGCCAGGACTAGGTGTTCCAGCTGCCTAAAGGTGCGCAAAATGGCTACCAGCTCGAGCCATTCCATGGCCTGGACTTGCTTTCTCTTCAAGATGCATACGAGGCTTTCGGTCAGGACTTGCACCACCGATGTGCGCATCTCAGCCTGTTTCACGGCCATCGCAGCCAGCATGGGCAGTAAATGCGCGGGGTGGGAGTGCCAATGGGCCAACAAAAGCTGCTGGAAGTGCACCAGCTGCTCCAGCGATGTCCCCGAATGCTCCAGCTGGCCTCGAATAAAGGCGGTTAGGGTCTCCAGCAGCCCATCGTCCAGTTCGATGTCGGCGGGCAAGCTGAGGATCTCGTTGAGCAGCAGGTAGCCCAGCTGGAGAACTGGGCGAGCGCGCTTCTGCAGGACGAGCAGCAGCTGCTTGGTGGTCGTGTTCAGCTGTCTGAGCTCCTGACGTGTCATACAGCCCAGTTCCAGCCACTTCGGAACGTTGGACCACATGATTGTCGTCGCCTCCAGCGTCAGTAGGGCGTAGTGGCCCACATCCGGGTTGGTCGACCAGCTAGTGGACGACTGCAGGCCCAGGACGCAGTGGCAGTAGTTCAGGCTGGCCAGCTTCGTGTCCATTTCGCACTCCTTGAGGATCAGCAGGGCCTGGTGCAGACTGGCCGGGAAAATGTCGCCGTGCGTGGCATAGCCAATGTGGTGGGCGTGCTGCAGGACCTCCAGCAGACTCTTGGCATACATGTCAGCCTGCTCCACGGGAAGCCTGATGTCCTCGAAGGCGCACTGCGGGTCGAACTCCTGCAGGCAGGCCACATCGCATTGGAATATGCTCAAAGTTATGGTTATGGCGGGACATTCTTGACTGAAGTCCAGGGAGCTCAGCTGCAGGTGCGTCTCCTCGAGGGCCTCCACATAGGCCAGGACCAGGCGCTCGTACAGCTTGGGATGATTGGAACAGCAGGAGCTGAGGATCTTCCTCTGCAGATTGATGCAGTGACTGCGGCAGAACAACAATGGTGTGCATACATAGAAGGTTAGTCCCAGGCCAATCTCTCACCTGCCGTCTGGAGCCTCGCTCAGGCACTTGGCCAGCTTGTTGAGCAGCCACAGGAGGAAGGTGTCCTGGAATTTGTTGTGCAGCTCCCGCACCAGCGAGCAGCTTATCAGGCTCGGCTCCTGGCACAGGATGTCCTCGATCACAGTGTACACGCGGGACAGGCAGGACGCGTTTCGGTTCACATGGTTGTACAGCAGCCTCCACATGTCCTTCCGTTGGTTCGACATGTTGCCGGTTTTGTTTGTAATTTAGTTATTTACAATTTACCGCACATTTGTTTACCACTACCGGCATCCATGGCGGGCGATATTTAGTATTTGCATCTTTAAATTAATAGGTTGTTTCCACCTACTCCTGTTTGATGGTCAGTTTGCATTACATCAAAAGCTGGTTTTGAGCTCCTAAGTAATTTAAAATTGTAGTTATTATTAAATCAAAATAAATTAAACAAAAAATTGTATAGGTACAATAAAGGGAGAAATAATAATTGCGTTTTGCATGCATCAAACCAAACTGAGTGTGAACGACTTATAAACTTATCGTTTTCTAAGAGGTATTTTGCTGATAGCTGTTAACTGCCATACTAAAAAATTTATAAAATCAAATCAAAATAAGAAAATAATATTAGTTATATGTTACTGTAAATAAGTTGGAGAGCGAAAATGGAAGTGGAATACGACGAGTCCGGCTGGCAGGGCCGCGCCAAGGGACAGTCAAATCCGGAGGTAATTGGGATTCCGGCGTGGCGGGCAATCCCTGGTGACGCCACTCGTAGATACGATGAGTCCATGGTAGATAAACCGCAAACTAAACTATTATTATATTCAACCCAAAGGAAATGCTCGAGGACAATCCGCAGAAGACGATCCAGGAGTGCCTGGAAAAGTTCCTCACACCCGACTACATCATGGAGCCGGGAATATTCACGCAGCTGAAGCGCTACTTCCAGTCGGGCGGCTCCCCCGAGGAGGTCATTTCGATGTTGTCGGAGAACTACAAGGCGGTGGCCCAAATGGCCAACCTGCTGGCCGAGTGGCTAATCCTCGCCGGCGTCAAGGTGACCGAGGTGCAGGCGATGGTGGAGAACCACCTCAAGGAGATGATCCTCAAGTCCTTCGATCCCAAAAAGGCCGACACCATCTTCACGGAGGAGGGCGAGACGCCCGATTGGCTAACCGAGATGATCGATCACTACACGTGGCGTTCGCTGATCTACCGACTGGCCGAGGAGTATCCCGACTGCCTGATGCTCAACTTCACGATCAAGCTGATCTCGGACGCAGGCTTCCAGAGCGAGATCACCTCCATTTCGACGGCCGCGCAGCAGATAGAGGTCTTCTCGCGGGTGCTCAAGACCTCGATAGTCAAGTTTCTGAACAATCCAGACGACGTGCACGGCGCCATCCAGGAGTGCGCCCGCATGGTCTGCCACGGCCAGCACACCTACGTCTACTCCCAAGTGCTCATCCAGGTGCTTAGCCAGGAGCAGAAGGGCGGGTTCAATATGAAGCGCCTCTCCCAGGAAATCATCAAATACGCCCTGCAGAAGTAATTATTTTTAAAAGTACTTCTGCAAAAAACTTAACTATCTTGTTGTTTCCCACAGCAATCAAAATGTGACGCCTATTACGATGGCCCTAAATGGCTCGGCGGTCTATCCGCAGGCATGCCAAGCGCTAACCTCCATGCTCACCCGCAACACACTCAATCCCGCCGACATCACCGTCCTGTTCCGCAACTATTCGGGCTCCGATCCGCCGCCCATCGACTTGATCCGGAACCCCCAGTTCCTGGAGCTCCTCGTGGACGCCCTCTTCCGTTCCGGCGTTAAGATCAACCCCGAGCACAAGCCGAAGTACATGTTCCTGCTGGCCTACGCGTCGGCGGTCATTGACCAGCCGGCCAAGAAGCGGCCGATGACCGAGCGCATGCTGAACAAGGAGGAGCTGAAGAGCACCATTCAGGCTATAGAGAAGGCGCATACCATCTGCAATGTGGACCAGGGCTCCACTGAGTTGATCGCTGAATTGCAGACGCTGTACAATTGCATCAAGTAAGTGGATGCCTCAAAACAATCTGTTTTCCCTACTGACACTGGACTGAACCTGCTTTTTGTCTAGATATCCCGTGGTGGGGGTCGGTGTGATACGGTGGATCGAGAACGTGGTAATGGAACCGTCCTACTTTAAGCTCTCCACAGACAGCTGTCCCACGCACCTGGCGGTTCTCGACGAAGTGGCCGCCGTGCATCCCACGCTGCAGCAGCAGATCCTGTTTCTGCTCATCCGCCTGTTCGAGTCCAAGCAGGATGAGCTAGAGATTCTCGTGCAATTGGAGATGAAGAAGATGATCCTGGACCGGATGGTTAACCTGCTAACACGCGGCTGCGTTGTACCCGTTCTACGGTACATTAAGCAGTGCTGCGCCATCGAGGACACAGACATTTCCCTAATCCGGTACTTCGTCACCGAGGTGCTGGAGACCATCACACATCCGTACTCCCCGGAGTTTGTGCAACTATTCCTGCCGATGGTCGAGAACGAGGAGATCACCGGCACAATGCGCGGTGAGGGCGACAACGATCCCGTGAACGAGTTTATTGGTGAGCAACTGATGGTCCCCGGCTCTCTTCACTTGCATCTGACCTTTGTTTGTCATCTCTTTTAGTTCACTGTAAGGCGCACTACACGACTGTATAGAAGGTGGCAATAAGGTATGTTTTAGAGGCGATTCCCATTCAAAATGTCAAATTTTCAAGTATTTTTTCTAGTTTACAAACGTCTTTTGTGCAACAATTTTTTTTTCTAACACATTTTTAACAACAAAAACATACGGAAGCCTCCCGTTAAGAAAAAAGTAAATTTAATATTTCGTATATCTAGGTATAACTATCCAAAATTTTATCATGAACTCAACTTTAACTGTTAATTTTTTTAATTTGCTTGTCATATTTTTTTATAACATTAAGCTGAAAAGCCGACGGCCCCGAAAAACTTTAATATTTGCAAACTTTTTTATTATCGTATATAAGTTTAAATTTTGAAGCAATTACCGAATTTTGCTTTAAAAAATCAATTATATATCGTCGAATCTTAAAAAAAATTGTATAGCTCTTAGGAAAATTTTACTGTATAAATCCGTAGTTCATAAAACCCAAATAAAGCTACTGATACGTTATTACTACAAAATAACTGAATTTGAACGTTGACAATATACAAAATAAATTGATTATGCCACGTAGGCATTCGGGTTTCAATATTTACAACCCAAATTTGTGTCCCTTATTTTTTTGTGAATCTAATGTAATTAGCAGTTCTTGCTTAACAAAGGCAAATAATTTTAATTGACGCATTTAGGTTTTTCTTTAAAAACTAGAATCTAACAATACATTTGCTAAGACTCTTGATTATATCCATTGATTCCCCATTTGTAGGCAAAAGCACGTCAACCAAAATCGTAGTTTAATTTTATTGCAAACAATAAACATTCACACCTCTTACAATAGCCTTAAATTCAGCTTGAATACGTGTTCACAATCTTCAAGCAATGGTCTATCATTCAGTTTTCAAATGGGTCTTCGGCAAAAATTCTTATAATGTATTTAAAAAAAAAGAGGAAGCACTGAAACGACTTCAATATTTACACATTTCGTTCGTTGAGCACGTCGCTTTTGCAGCAAAAGACACAAGACTCGATGTGCTCTTTCAAGTTGTTGGTCTAAAATCGTTTTCCGTTTGGCTGTCGTATTAGTTAAAGATAAGCTGTATTGGCCAAGTTCAAATTCAATTAAATATGGCATCCAAATAAGTCTGTGGTTTCTGCTGCTGCTGATTTCGCTTTATATAAATCCTACCAATTGTAAAACAATACACAAATTTTCAAGGGCTAACACTCAACGTGAAATTCGGAGTCAAGGAACAGCTGGCACACCCAACCGAGTGCTGCTCCTCAAGAGTAATTTTCACGCCGTTTAAAATGTCTTTGGCTTGCGCTTCTGAATCGTATCCGAATCCGAATCTGTATCTGTATCCGAATAACATGGGACGATCGTTCGTTATGCTATATATGTATGTATGTATAATGTGTGCGTTTAGGCGTTAGCTTTGGTTGGCAGCGTTAAGTACTTCTTAAAGGGGGATGGGGTGGCTGACTACAAATAGTTTAGTTGCTCTTTTTAACATCTTTGCTGTCGCCGTCCTTGGCCTGCCCGCGGCCCAGGATCTTGGCCAGGCTGTCCCAAATTCCGCCGAAAAAGATGGCGCAGCAAAGGTTCTCCAGCGGCAGGAAGGGATCGTGGATGCCCAGCAGGATGGAGGACAGCTTAAAGTAGACCAGGAATATGACGATGCCAAAGTAAACCAGTGCATGTGGTGCTGAGATCCAGTCGGTCTTCTTGTCCAGCACAAAGATGATCGAGGCCAGCAGAGAAGCCTTGGTGTAGCTAAAACGGTACAGAATGGATCAGTAAGCATAATCATGGCGAAGGAACAGATATATATACTCACAAGCTTGGCTGCATGAATTCCATGGCTGTTGGAGTCCATGCCCCCCGGATGAGGCGTTCGATCAACTTGGTGAATCCCGCTCCGTTGCCCTTCAGGGTGCCAATGATGATCATGATTATCCAGGCGTTCGGATACAGTTTTGCCGCATGTCCCACACCGTCGTAGACCTTTTTTGCCCGATAGATCTCCTTCATGGCACTGGCCACGATCTTGACGGGCAGGAACTTGGCCACCTTGTAGCCGATGTCAAACGGCGTGTAGAAGACCACGTACCTGTGCGAACGGATTGAGATTTGTTAGGTGGATTAGGATTTTGGATGATCTATTATGTATGCACACTTACCACACCGCTGTGCCCACGAGGAGCTGGCCTGTGTTCTTCAGCGGAGCCAGTATCGGCTCGCCCAGCAGTCCGTTGGCCACCATACCGCCTGCGAAGATCACCAGCATGGTGGAGAGCCAGCAGGCGAGCGGATGCTTCCGAGAAAACGCCTGGGCGTTGGCACCCAAGTCCTCACGCACGGCCAGCGCGGCAAGTAGACTGTGAGCGATGTCGAAGAACGGAAACATTTTCAGCTTGATGACCTGGTTGGCCACATCCAAAAATGCTTCCGGGTCCATGATCACAGCCGATCTTGTGTCCTGCCTTCACGGATGATAATCTGCGAGATGTATCGATAAAAATATAAGTTTTTCAAATTTCTATTATTTTCTTTAAATTCCATTATTTTATTTCGACATAAATTCTGGAAATAGTTGAGAACTTTACTGTTTTTAAGTTCATTAACTACTTAAATTCAATTCGAAATTTGATCTTTTAAAATATTCTAAAATCTTGAAATGTTACATAACTAAAAAGGTAAAAACTCGTGTTTTGTAATTCTTGGAATAATACCAACAAGATATGTACATATGGATTGGCGGATGTAACAGGTTCCCAAAGCACTCAACTCGTGTTCTCTTACATTCCCAATAATATTGACGTAGTGGCGGATGGATTTTCGAAAGCAATTGAAGCGGTTTTTGAACTGCAGACAGTGCACGCTTGCAGAGGATGTGATGTACATACATAGATGTAGAAGTTGTCAGATTGTGTGTTTATGTAGACGAAACATAGAAAAAATTCGAATAAAAATTGCGCTGTTTTTGCCGCACTTCCAAAAATAAATTTCACCATGAGGGCTGTTAAAAGAAGCGCGCCGGGTCGGGCCTGACATATATGTAAATACATATGTGTGTACGATTGTTTATATCGACAATGGTGGTCAAAATTCTAGCACTTGGGCTCTGAAGTTGTGGGTTCCTCAAATTTTATGGCCCTTTTTGAAATTTAAATCTTTAAAAGAAACATTCTCCATATTGGCCCCTTTAATATTGCAAGGTGCTACGAAATATCTTTTAACAATGTTTCAGCCCTATCCTAATATATTTAAAATTTAAACCTCAAGATTTTTATAACTTTCCATGTGGTATGTAAATCTATACATAAAGTATGTATTTAAATGCATTTAGATACTGCTAATGAGGTTTCAATTATCTAAAATAAACCTTTATAGACCATGAAAAGATTTTAATTATTAATCAGCATTTTTATGAAATAGAACAGTTATAGCCTTTAAAAAAGTCCCTCGGTATCTACCCCAAAGTAATGACAAATCTAATCTAATCAAAATAAACCTTAAAATAGTCTAGTCACTAGCCTAATGTACATACATATGTAAATATTTCACAATCTGTTTGGAGGAGGGTAATGACCGGAGTTTTAAAGTCTACAAATATAAATGTTTCCATCAATCTTTTCCTGGATGGGTCGAATTTTTAGTGCTAATATTTTAGCCACAGCTGTGTTTATTATGTACATATACTATATTCACTGAGTGCCTCCTAGCTATTTTTGAGCGGCGCAAATTGGAAGAGACTTGTCGGTATGTAGATATATGTTCAGGATGAAATATCCTGTATGTGCAGATGTCGATACGTTAAATAGGGGAGTTATCTGGTAATTCTCGCATCCAGGCACACACGCGGTGAAATAATTATAAATAAAATAAATAGCGAAATAAGCAGCAAATTACCTACGTCTAACACGCGAGCAAAACGGATAGCGGATAGCAGAGTGCAGCACGAACACTGGGAGACTGGGCCAGATATTATATATGTATTATAGCTCTGCTCTCGTGAACGAGAACCTGATATATATTTAGAATGTCCGACTTTTCAGAGCACCAAACTCTCGCGATTATCGAATCCCTAGTCTTTCAAAACTCAACGGACACAGATTACCCGCCGTATGTTGCACACTGTTTTTCGATTTAAAAACAGACTTTAAGTAAACACTTAGTAACTGAAACTCCAGTGGTTTATGTCGATAATTTTGACTTACTATTGGGATACATACTACTGTTTACGCGTCTTACATAAATAATTTAAATGCGGCAAGACGTAAACAAAAGAAAAAAACATATGTATCAAAGCTCCACAAAGTTATTTACGAAAATGTAGCATTCACACTGCTTAAAATTAGTTAGGGGATTCCCTAAACTGTTGAATTGCTGAATTGTTGAGTTTCGGTCAGCTGTTTATCAATTACAAACTTAATCTTTAGAGATGTAATAGTATTAACAAATATTTATGGGTGGTATATATTTGTTACTAACATGTAAAATAACTTTGGCAAAGTTAAACAAATAAAATAAATTTTTTGAACACGATTAGCCTACAAATGCCTACAATATATAATAAACGACTCCAAATGAATAAAAACAAATGGAGAATATAAAACTCATGAAAAAAAAACAGAAAAACAAACACAGATTATAAAATATTTCCGATTTATTGCGTTCATTTCGATATCGATAGCAAACGCGTCCATTAGGATGACCATATCTGACGTGCTTAGTGTAAACAATGCATTAAGCCACGGAGCAACTGTGCTGGGACCGATAGAAAAGAGAAAGCTATCCCCACTCGATTTCCCAACACTGGCTTTGATTGGTTTTTGTTTATTCGATATATACAGCGTGCGCTCGTTCGTAATAAATAAAATAATGTAACCCGAAGTAATGTAACCGTTACCACTCGCTACGATACACCCCCTTCACTCACTGTGCAAAGTTCCCGCGGAAAAAAAGGAAAACAAAAACAGCTCAATTGTACTGAAACCCACTCCACATACCTTGTATGTATGTACTTGGCTTACACAAATGCTGTATTTGCACAAAACCTTGTGATATTGAGGTCAAGATCTGAGGAGAAAAGGTGAGTGCTATTCCAGGTCCGGTTTTGTTGTGATTTTATAAAAATATCTAGTCTAACATTTGTCTTAAACCACTAACACCTACCACTACTACTTGCTTGTCATCCAAAAAATATGTGTATATATGTATGTAAGATGTGACCATAATATGTACATACATGTGTAGCAGGGTAAATATGCGTGGTGTTTTGAGACTCGATTTATATATGTACTCCTTACGTACATATGTATGTATTTAAACCACTTTTTTATATTTTATTCAAGTCAACGCGATGCGCATATTGATAACGTAATTCTACCAACAAATTCCAATTGTGAAAATACCTTTTCAAGCGAATGTGGAGACCTGGTTGTGCCGTTCAACGTCTTCTTCGTTCATGAGTGCCAATTTGTCAATAATCCCCCTGTCAACAGTTATTTCTTCCCAGTAGCTGCGAATTAGTATTATCATATTGCATTGTACGGTTACTATGATAGATTTGTATTAGATCCGATAAAGTATACTTTCAGGTATTTAAGAAAGGTTTACTATTATTAAGTTCTTGCTTATACATTAAGACTTTGAATGGTGGATAGACAGTTAGATAGTTCTCCTAATTTTGAAACTTAGTTGGCCAACACTTTCCCATACTATACTTGTCAGTGTCATTTGAAAATATTTGTGTCAAGACAACACTTACATATAAACAATAAACAGGTGTATTTTGGCCATTTAATTTCTGAATTTAGTATACGATTTTCAGATGGCTTCCAATTCGACGAAGAAAAGCAAATCTTCTGGTATGCGCATTTTGTGGATACCAGGTCGGAAGTCGCATTCCAAGGGCCGTTTTAGTACTACCAACAAGCAGATCTCGTACTCGGGTCCACAGAAAAAGAGCGAAGTATGGTCCTTGGGAGGCAGCAAAGCACAGTCCGAGCTGATTGACTTGTAAGTAAGGTGGCGATTGTTATTAAGACACTCAAAATAGTTCTATAAGGTGTATTAACATAACCGCTTACTTAACCGCAATTACTTGGATTCTTAAGAAACATTCAATATGTTGTATAAGATTAACCAAAATAACCATAAATTATATTTCAGTCCCTCTCCCGATTTACCCGGAAATTCTCCATCATCGTCCCTGAGCATTGTGGCCACCTGTTCGATGGTTCAAGGAGCCTCGAACAGCGAAAGAGCGTCCTCTGATGACTTGGCCATCGTTTCGGAGACAGCCACATTGCCAGCCACACCTGTGAGCACCAACTCACCGATCCTGAATAGTCCCATCTCCGAGACAGCATCAGCATCCACCCGAGTCATGACATCTCCTAACGTCATCACCACCGTTGTAATACAGGACTTGGTAGGTTGCTGACCACCCTGTGCTTCTATCCCACATCTAATCATTACCACCATGTTTCAGCACAACTTTATGAGTCCTGATGACCTACCGAAGGTGCCCGCCTCGACGGCACAGGATACCGAGGTGGTGCTAAATAGCTCGGCGGGAACCACAGCTTCGATAGCTACCACATCTTCTTCCACACACAAGCCCGGATCGCCACGCGCTTCCCATTCTCAGCAGACCACGCCTCAAAAGAGTAGATATAAGAATCACAACAATAACCAGGTAAAAATTAGTGGTTAAAGGCTGAATAATTTAATTTAATAATTTGAACTTTAAAAACTATGAAACTTTGTTTATCTACGCGAAATAGGAGGATATCAACTCTATCGAAAGCATTTCCAGCTTCCCAAGGTTTCAGGGAAACGCCGCTGATTTTGATTGGATTGACGAGATGGTGCAACAACGAAACTGCAATGAACTAATGCATAAGAATAAGAGAAAGAAGTCAAAGAAGGTCGAGGGCCTGGAAGCCGATCAACTGGACGGAAAAATCTTTGGCTACGATAATGACAAGGCTAAATTAAATGGCAAGGATGATGGCGACAATGACGAAAAGGTTGTCAAATGTTTGTACTACTCACTCATGTGTTGCGATTGTACTATATCGTAAATGGATCGTACGAACGAGTCCGCGTCCATGTAAAATACCTCTCAACCACCTATGTAAAAATATATATTCGATTTTGTATACTTTAGCATACGCAGCGAAATAAGACAGAAAAAAACCGAAGTATTATCGAATTTATAATGATTTACACGGAACTAACATTATGAACATTCGAATAAATATCGAAATCCAAATCCAACTACAATTATTTGATTTGGTTTGAATTTAAATAAGTGATCGAAACATATGTATATTAACTATATATATAAATTTTCTATTTTTGTAAATAAAATATTTTCTACCAACGAAAATTCTTTAAAATGCATTTCAGACCTTAATCAAGGTATGACATTTCATATTTGGGCTATTATTTCCTTTGTTTCAAAAAATGATATTTTAGGGTAGAAAACATGGATTCGTATTTAAGTCAAAACCAAAAGTTTTTTTGCGGTTTTTCAGTCGTAATTTTGACAAATCAAGGGCGACAGTTAAACGGCCGACTGTTTTGAACAGGTTACAACCAAAGCTATCGATCCCCATCATTTTTGGGAAAAATAAATTTTTCACCAATTTTCGAATTTTTGATAAGGGGTTACATCATAATTTTTTGCAAAAAATTGACAAAATTTAAAAGTTTTAGGTTTGAATGCCAATCGTTTGGCAATTCAATTACGAGCTCAGCAAGGTATGACACTCCGTTTTTGGATCATTATTTCCATTGTTTCGGCCAAAATACTGATATTTAAGGGTGAAATATTTGGAATTTTAGGCAAAACTAAACGTTTTTGGAACTTTTTACCTAATTAAGGAGCATACCTGGTAAGGAGGTCGATACTCTGCATCTTGGAGTCCAGTCCATCCAATTTATGAATCTCCTAAAATCACTTCACAACCACCAACACCCACACCAACTTCCGGTCAACTGATTTATCGGCTACCATAGCACCTAGGTCATGAATTTTAAGCTAGAACTAGTTGGGAATTATAAGTTCCCACCGAGAGAATATTTTTAGATTGACATTATCGATGACGTGGCCCATTGTAAATTTCATTAGTTTTGCAAGTAACAGTCGTAATTTGGACAAATTAAGGCCGACAGGTAAACGGACGACTGTTTTGAAAAGCAAACAACCTAAGCTATCGATCCCCATCATTTTTGGGAAAAATAAATTTTTCACCAATTTTCGAATTTTTTGATAAGGGGTTACATCATAATTTTTTGAAAAAAATTGACAAAATTTAAAAGTTTTAGGTTTGTTTTTTTTTAGAGCTTTTTGGAAAAAAAAAAAAAAAAAAATTTTTTTTTTAAAAAGACAATTAAGCACTGTTTTAATGTTAAAAATCACCCATATTTTTGAAAATTATTTTCACCATTTTAAGTTTTTAATGCCAATCGTTTGGCAATTCAATTACGAGCTAAGCAAGGTATGACACTCCGTTTTTGGATCATTATTTCCAATGTTTCGGCCAAAATACTGATATTTAAGGGTGAAATATATGGAATTTTAGGCAAAACTAAACGTTTTTGGAACTTTTTACCTAATTAAGGAGCATACCTGGTAAGGAGGTCGATACTCTGCATCTTGGAGTCCAGTCCATCCAATTTATGAATCTCCTAAAATCACTTCACAACCACCAACACCCACACCAACTTCCGGTCAACTGATTTATCGGCTACCATAGCACCTAGGTCATGAATTTTAAGCTAGAACTAGTTGGGAATTATAAGTTCCCACCGAGAGAATTTTTTTAGATTGACATTATCGATGACGTGGCCCATTGTAAATTTCATTAGTTTTGCAAGTAACAGTCGTAATTTGGACAAATTAAGGCCGACAGGTAAACGGACGACTGTTTTGAAAAGCAAACAACCTAAGCTATCGATCCCCATCATTTTTGGAAAAAATAAATTTTTCACCAATTTTCGAATTTTTGATAAGGGGTTACATCACAATTTTTTGCAAAAAATTGACAAAATTTAAAAGTTTTAGGTTTGAATGCCAATCGTTTGGCAATTCAATTACGAGCTCAGCAAGGTATGACACTCCGTTTTTGGATCATTATTTCCAATGTTTCGGCCAAAATACTGATATTTGAGGGTGAAAAATTTGGACTAAGATTTGAGACAAAATAGCCGATTTTTGTGTGGTTTTTTAGTCGTAATTTGGACAAATCAAGGGCGACAGTTAAACGGCCGACTGTTTTGAACATGTTACAACCTAAGCTATCGATCCCCATCATTTTTGGGAAAAATTAATTTTTCACCAATTTTCGAATTTTTGATAAGGGGTTACATCATAATTTTTTGCAAAAAATTGACAAAATTTAAAAGTTTTAGGTTTGAATGCCAATCGTTTGGCAATTCAATTACGAGCTCAGCAAGGTATGACACTCCGTTTTTGGATCATTATTTCCAATGTTTCGGCCAAAATACTGATATTTAAGGGTGAAATATATGGAATTTTAGGCAAAACTAAACGTTTTTGGAACTTTTTACCTAATTAAGGAGCATACCTGGTAAGGAGGTCGATACTCTGCATCTTGGAGTCCAGTCCATCCAATTTATGAATCTCCTAAAATCACTTCACAACCACCAACACCCACACCAACTTCCGGTCAACTGATTTATCGGCTACCATAGCACCTAGGTCATGAATTTTAAGCTAGAACTAGTTGGGAATTATAAGTTCCCACCGAGAGAATTTTTTTAGATTGACATTATCGATGACGTGGCCCATTGTAAATTTCATTAGTTTTGCAAGTAACAGTCGTAATTTGGACAAATTAAGGCCGACAGGTAAACGGACGACTGTTTTGAAAAGCAAACAACCTAAGCTATCGATCCCCATCATTTTTGGAAAAAATAAATTTTTCACCAATTTTCGAATTTTTGATAAGGGGTTACATCACAATTTTTTGCAAAAAATTGACAAAATTTAAAAGTTTTAGGTTTGAATGCCAATCGTTTGGCAATTCAATTACGAGCTCAGCAAGGTATGACACTCCGTTTTTGGATCATTATTTCCAATGTTTCGGCCAAAATACTGATATTTGAGGGTGAAAAATTTGGACTAAGATTTGAGACAAAATAGCCGATTTTTGTGTGGTTTTTTAGTCGTAATTTGGACAAATCAAGGGCGACAGTTAAACGGCCGACTGTTTTGAACATGTTACAACCTAAGCTATCGATCCCCATCATTTTTGGGAAAAATTAATTTTTCACCAATTTTCGAATTTTTGATAAGGGGTTACATCATAATTTTTTGCAAAAAATTGACAAAATTTAAAAGTTTTAGGTTTGAATGCCAATCGTTTGGCAATTCAATTACGAGCTCAGCAAGGTATGACACTCCGTTTTTGGATCATTATTTCCAATGTTTCGGCCAAAATACTGATATTTAAGGGTGAAATATTTGGAATTTTAGGCAAAACTAAACGTTTTTGGAACTTTTTACCTAATTAAGGAGCATACCTGGTAAGGAGGTCGATACTCTGCATCTTGGAGTCCAGTCCATCCAATTTATGAATCTCCTAAAATCACTTCACAACCACCAACACCCACACCAACTTCCGGTCAACTGATTTATCGGCTACCATAGCACCTAGGTCATGAATTTTAAGCTAGAACTAGTTGGGAATTATAAGTTCCCACCGAGAGAATTTTTTTAGATTGACATTATCGATGACGTGGCCCATTGTAAATTTCATTAGTTTTGCAAGTAACAGTCGTAATTTGGACAAATTAAGGCCGACAGGTAAACGGACGACTGTTTTGAAAAGCAAACAACCTAAGCTATCGATCCCCATCATTTTTGGAAAAAATAAATTTTTCACCAATTTTCGAATTTTTGATAAGGGGTTACATCACAATTTTTTGCAAAAAATTGACAAAATTTAAAAGTTTTAGGTTTGAATGCCAATCGTTTGGCAATTCAATTACGAGCTCAGCAAGGTATGACACTCCGTTTTTGGATCATTATTTCCATTGTTTCGGCCAAAATACTGATATTTAAGGGTGAAATATTTGGAATTTTAGGCAAAACTAAACGTTTTTGGAACTTTTTACCTAATTAAGGAGCATACCTGGTAAGGAGGTCGATACTCTGCATCTTGGAGTCCAGTCCATCCAATTTATGAATCTCCTAAAATCACTTCACAACCACCAACACCCACACCAACTTCCGGTCAACTGATTTATCGGCTACCATAGCACCTAGGTCATGAATTTTAAGCTAGAACTAGTTGGGAATTATAAGTTCCCACCGAGAGAATTTTTTTAGATTGACATTATCGATGACGTGGCCCATTGTAAATTTCATTAGTTTTGCAAGTAACAGTCGTAATTTGGACAAATTAAGGCCGACAGGTAAACGGACGACTGTTTTGAAAAGCAAACAACCTAAGCTATCGATCCCCATCATTTTTGGGAAAAATAAATTTTTCACCAATTTTCGAATTTTTGATAAGGGGTTACATCATAATTTTTTGCAAAAAATTGACAAAATTTAAAAGTTTTAGGTTTGAATGCCAATCGTTTGGCAATTCAATTACGAGCTCAGCAAGGTATGACACTCCGTTTTTGGATCATTATTTCCATTGTTTCGGCCAACTTTAATTGAGAAAATAGCCTTTTTTGTGGTTTTTTTTTTTTGGAAAAGGGTAATTTTTTTTTTATTTTTTTTTTTTTTTTTTTAAATTTTAAAATACTGATATTTAAGGGTGAAATATTTGGAATTTTAGGCAAAACTAAACGTTTTTGGAACTTTTTACCTAATTAAGGAGCATACCTTGTAAGGAGGTCGATACTCTGCATCTTGGAGTCCAGTCCATCCAATTTATGAATCTCCTAAAATCACTTCACAACCACCAACACCCACACCAACTTCCGGTCAACTGATTTATCGGCTACCATAGCACCTAGGTCATGAATTTTAAGCTAGAACTAGTTGGGAATTATAAGTTCCCACCGAGAGAATTTTTTTAGATTGACATTATCGATGACGTGGCCCATTGTAAATTTCATTAGTTTTGCAAGTAACAGTCGTAATTTGGACAAATTAAGGCCGACAGGTAAACGGACGACTGTTT